CTTAAAGCAAGAATTCGCGCGCGCGCTGAAGAAATACAAAAATCCACCTCCGAGGCAGAAAGCGAGAAAAAAAGAACCAAAGGACGAAAACTTTCAACACAAACACAAAAAAAAAGAAACTCCTTTACAACAAAAAATGTACAAAAAAAAAACTGGAGTATGAAAACCGATTTTTATTGCAAATTTTATATTTAATATATCCGATTCCGAATTCAGTTTTGTATTTGCCAAATCTCAAATTTGTTTCTCTTTGAAATTTCGAATTAATTTCGAAAAATGGAAGTCCTCTTGCATTTTAAATTCTCTTTCCTCTTTGTCATTCATTTATTAGTTTCAGATTTTGAGTTTACGTCTTATTCAAGTTTCGAATTAAAAATTATTATTAAATTTTGAATCTCCATCTGCAATAAATCTAGAAGTTCTTCCTTTAACGGATTTCAAGTTTCTTTCGTTTTTAAATTTTAAAACACGCACTTTTTTTAAAAACTTTTAAAAAACTCGATTTTTAACGGTTGATTTTACAGCTTCTTTTTGGTGTGTGTGTGTATGTGTGTGAGTGTGTGTGGTGCGAGTGTGTAAGAGAGAGAAAGAGAGAAAGAGAGAGAGAGAGAGAGAAATATAGAGACAGTGTCTGTCTTGCTTGGACTCCAAGAACTACAACAACGCAATGTTATCCGCTCGGAGGCTGAACGCCTACTGGATGTTGCACGCGCTGAAAGCTTTCGCAGAATGCCAGCATGCGACAGCCAGCACGCAACGCGTCGGGCAGCGACGCCGGCAGCGCCCGAACAAGAGCCGAATGGCCAGACAGCCAGCCGAATGTCGGTGGCTGGATGTCGGCTCCGGCTGCATGGCGCTAGGGAGGATTGAAGGTAGAGACGGTTGGAGCGTGTGGAAGAGGGAAGTGAGAGTGCATGGGAGGGTGATGGGGAGAGGGGGAGTCACAGTGGTACTGCGCTTTTTAATTGCATTTTTGGGCCGCCTCGTGCCTCGTGCGAGGCGGGCAAAAGCGCAGCGCAGCGAAGCTCTCCTTTGCCATCGCCTTTGCTATGGAATCCATAAAACATATCTGTGTGAATAATTCAAGGCAAATATAACGCAGTCTACACTCTGGAAATCTCTACACTAACGCACACACACTCCCAAGCACACACGCACACAGGTGGGCCGCCACTCGCAAGCTATATTCGTGTGAGGTGAGCCACTGCCAGAGGGATCGGAAGATACGAATGATCGGTAGGAAACTCGCAGTCATCGCACGAATAGGTGGTCGCCCTTTGGACTGCGCGAGAAGGTGGACCGCCCCATGAAAGGTGTATGCTTGAAAGGAAAGGCGATACAGAGACAAAGAACACACAGAAATTAGAAAACAGAAAAATCAAATCGGAAGAACGGCCATGCCTTACCTCAAATACTCACATGCCCTGGCCACACGCATCTTGTACTCTCCACGGCTGGAAACTTATCATCGTCCCCCTTCGGCGCTCCTATCACCGCCTTCCAGTCGCCGTCGCCATCGCAGTCGACGTCTGCGTCGTAGTCGCGTGTGTGCTAACAAGTGGGGGAGCAACAGTTGAAATGAATGAAAACTTCTCTGCGCCAACGCAGAGCGTCGCTGTCGACGCTGGCGTCCGTTTCATGTGTTGCTTCTCTCACACACCTGATAGGGCGGAAGCTTAGAGTGGGGGAGTGCAAGGGACGGAGGGCGAGGGGGTTGGATGTTGATGTTGCTTTCCAGTCGCAGCAGCAGCGGCACACTGTTGCTCTTCTCTGGCTGTGTGCGTGGGTGCCTTCTATGTCTCCTTCTCTGCGTTTGTGTCTCCTCTTTCTGTCTCTCTCTCTCTCTCTCTCTCTCTCTCTCTCCTGTGTTTCCCTCTGTCTATGTGTGTGTCTGTGTGGAGATTGTTTTTGGGGTTCCGTTAAGCAGCTACTAATTTTTGTTAATCACACCTTTAATGACATGAACTTGACACCATTCCCCGCCCTCTATTGCTCTGCTCTGCCTACAATTTGGCAACCAAATATACCCCACTATGTGGCTATCATGTGTCTGTGTGTGTGCAACACTTAATTACTGTTAGCTAGCAGTTCAAGGGCAGCACAGATCGTTCCTATACTTTTTACATAAAAAATACTAGAAAAAGTACTGCAGATACTAGGAAAAAAAACATTATAAATACTAGAAAAATACCAGACATACCAGGTTGATACTAATTTTATAATAATCACTGAGAAGCACTACGATACGATTGGTTTTAATTTTGTTTAATGCAATTTTAAAGGTTTCTGTGGAAACCCTGAGGTTTTTCACACCGATCGTTCCTAAATGCTCCGAATAATCTGCCTTGAGCATCAAATAGAAAAAAGGATAAGATATTGACGGCTCCTTTTCTATGTGGCAAGTATTACTCTCATATGCAGCACAGTGATTTGAACGATCTGCCAGGCGCCACAAAACAACAAATAAGTAACATTCTTGTGTGCCTCGCGTGATTTATAAGCACTAAACCATGTTTATTGGAAAATTATGAGCAATTAGTATAAATTGAAAGCTTCTAAGATTTATTAGTATTTTGCATCTGAATGGAGCACTTGAAATATACTATTTTAAAATAATTTTCAAACACAAGCACATGGTTAACATATTATTTTAACCAAAAATATTTTCCAGCAGTGCTATTTAAATTGATATTTATATTTCTATGCGTTGTGAGTTTATGAGTTAATTTTTGTGGAAAAATCTTGAGAACAGGTAGAAAAGTTTCCTTTCGAAGCTTGTGTGCCTCGACATTAGTATACCTTGTACTCAGATTCTATAAATATAATATAATATATAATATAGTTCTATAAAAGGCCACCAGTCGAAGGTATGAGGCCTGAATACCCCCGAATGCGATATATAGCGTTCAGTATGCCTTCTGGGAATATAAATATATAGTAAAACAATTAATTAACTAAATTTGTTGCATTTTGTGAGTTCTTTAGGGAATAATGTTCATCCTAAACCAATAATTTTCGCTTTTAAAATTGTTCGTTGCTTGAAAAAAGGTGAAATAACGAGTAGAGAGACACAATTGATAGGCATTATTTCCACAGAGTATGAATCACCATCGTCAGAAGCCACATCATCAGAATTCCGCGCCAAACAGCTGCTTCAGTGCGCGCCCCTCCATTGGAGGCGAACTCGTCAAAATAGTTCCCGTAAAGGGCAAAGGTCAGCAGGTGGCGATGCGGCTGGCGCAGCTCCAGCTCCGTGTGGGTGTGGGTATCATTGCCAGGGACCTCCTGCAAGGTCCAGGCCACCTCCGACGGCTGCAGCGCGTACAGTGAGGAGGCAAGAGTGCTCGGCATCAGCAGGCGGCGCTGCCGCTTGACAAACTCCCCGCTGATCCACAGCGAAGTGAACTCCACGCCCTTGCCGCCGCCCACCGTCTGATTGCTGAGCAGGCCGCAGCTCTCGGGGCTGCCATCGCGGCAGGCGAAGAGGCCGCACACCCGAATGGAGCTGTACTGCTCCTCCTCGTAGCGACGCTCTGCCACGGACACGCCCAGACGATAGTGGTACTCGGACTGAGCTCCGAGCAGGTTCCAGCTGAGCCGGAAATCGCAGCAGAGATCCGCCTGGCAGAGCCGCTTGCTCGCCGAACTCCCATTGACCAACGGCAGGGCCCAAGTGGAGAAGTTGCCAATGTCCGGCTGCTGGAGTAGCTTCAGCAGCACTGCCGCACCATCTCCTTCATTCCGAATAGTCGCCTTTGTGGGCATCCATGGCGATCCACCGGCTGACACTTGGGCCAGAAGCAGTTGTCGCCGACCCTCCGTCTGATTCGACACCATGATCCTGGTGAGGGCCCCCTGGTGGCCGGCATAAATGCCACTGCCACTGATCCCTGCCAGTGGCATGCTGGCACCGGCCGCCAGCAGAGTCACATTGTTGGCCCAGGCCCAGCCCTGCTGGAGTTGGGTGGCTGCCAAGAGAGAGGACAAGTGAAATAAGTGGGACTCTCGGTCCCAGATCTCTTTGTCTTACCCGTAAGGAAGGGCAGCTCCGAGTTGAACATTTTGGTGACAATCAGATGGCGTACGCCCAAGCGCTCGACCAACTCCTGGGCCGGGCTATAGAACAGCATGTCGAAGCAGATAAAGTGCCCGAAGGTCACCCCAAAGTCCGTCCGGAAGATGGCCAACTCTGCGGATTTGGTGCGATTGGTAAGCGGCTCCAGGTAGAGGTTCCACTTGCGATACCGCGACACCACCGCCCCGTTCCTGTCGAACACCACATTGGTGTTGTAGATGTTGTAGCCCCTACTCGGGATGGGATCCTCCTCTGACCGTTCCTTGACATTGACCACCAAATAGGTGCGTGCACTGCGTGCCGCACAGGCCAGTCGGCGCAGGAACTCCGCCACCTGGGGATCATCCCCGTCGTGTTTCTCGCACAGACTGTTCTCCGTTTGCTCGGGCACCGCCGTCAGCTTGAGCACACTGTTGAGGGTGGCCTCGGGAAAGACCAGTATATCGCTGGTCCCATTAGCAGCGGCAATCAGCTCCAGATACGCGGAGAGATTCTCCTCGAGCAGCTGCTCGGAACTTCCACCAAGCACCGCCGGTCGAAACTCCGCCACTCCAGCTGTGTAAAAATCGCCATCACCTCGCACCGGGCGACCGGCAAGGTGCACCACCGCCACACAAACAACCAGCCAGCGCTTTAGACACATTGATCGTCTCTCGATCGACGTTAGAGCCAGACTGAGAGCCCAACCGGTTTCCGTTCTCTCTGTCTGTCGGGAGGCAATCACGCTATGCCTGGTGTGCTCCAAGTATCTGTTGGGATCTCAATTCAATCTTATCGTATATGCTCGCAGCTAATCAACGCGTCTCGCTTTTATTGCTGCTGTTTTTGGATTATATTGAACATTTAGTTTGCTCTTCTGTGGCAGTCTTTTAGGCGAAACAAACTCGAAAGTATTGAGGGGAACTCACGAATTTTTCAGTACTAGTTTGGGCATGTATTTCCATGCATATATTTCCCTGAATTTGAACATATTTTAGGACCAGTATTGCCACCACATTAGAGAAAGTTTCGATGGGAACTGGAAGGCATGAGGCACAGCACTTCCAATTCCTCATATCCTTAAAACTATGTATATTAAAAAAAAGCCAACACATTGAGGAACAGCCTAACGGATGATCAGCCCCGCAAGAGGAGTAGCAGCGGCATCAGCAGACCAGCGCCAAAGAGCACGAGCCGCGAAGATCCGTTCTTATAGCCACAGGCCACTTGCTGCTCCTCTGAGCCGACACCAAAGGTACACTTGTCATCGTAGTAGTTGCCGTAGATGGCAAAGGTCAGGAGGTTGCTGACCTCGACAGAGTCGCGCAGGCCAAAGCGAACATCATACTGGTAGCTGTAGCGGAGATTGGATGCCAATTGGAGTTTTAGAGATTGGAGAATCCGAACTGCGATGGACGACTCACCTGTCCACCGATTGCTGTTCTTGCGACCATTCGAACCGCGATGGCTCTAGGGGCAGGAGGTCATCCAGCACGGTGTTTGGCATCAGAAGGAACTCGCGCGACTCCGGATAGGTGACCCCGATCTCCAAACGGGTGAAGGCTACGCGCAGCCCTTGCTCCTCCAGCTTTTCCGAGGAGGGCAGACCACCGCACTCTTCGAGGGTGGGGCCCGTGCACGCGAAGAGGCCGCAGTTGCGTATGTAATTGGCGTCCACATTCTGCTCATTGCGCCAGCCATCGTAGGCCCCCAGCCGGTAGCTCGCTGAGCGTCCACTGCCGCCCTCCAAGGGCCGCCACTCGATGTCAAAGTGGCAGCAAAACTTTTCATAGCAGATGTCCTTCGTAAGATTCCCGGACTGGTTCTCTGCGATCGGAAGAAGCTCACTCTGGTAGTTCTCCAGGTAGTCCCGTTTCATCGTGAAGTTCGAGCTGCTGATCGCCTCTCTGGAGGTCCCCAGAGCTCGTCTCTGACGCCTCTGACGGATGGGCCGTCGCACTGTATACTTTGGCACCTGTGCCACATGGATACTACGCTCGCCGGTGCCCTGCACCATCACGCTGCTGAGGGCGCCCTCACGTCCATGGTAGATCCCGGAGCCACTGCTGCCCACCAAAGGAAAACTGGCGCCGGCGGCCAGCAAATTCACATTGTTTGCGTAGGCCCAAGCCTGCTGGGTTTGCACAGCTGTCGGGGGGAACGGAGATATGTACAGATAATGAGGGGGGCTAATCTTTAGGGCACTTCATCTGGAGAGGGCTTCTCAAATTAATTGCCACTTAGGGGCGATAAGGGGACTCTCCGACTCGACACTCACCTGTGAGGAATGGAAGCTGGGAGAACCACATGGTCGTGTAGATAAAGTCCGTGATGCCCTGCTCCAAGATCAGCTGATGGGCCGGGGTGTAAAACAATATATCGAAGCAGGTAAAAGTCCCAAAGGTCACGCCAAAGTCCGTCTCGAAGGTCTCCAACTCTGGCTCGTATGTGGTGTTCCTGTTCTCTCCATAGAGATGCACCTTCCGATAGCGGGAGATGACAACCCCCTGGCGATCGAAGACCACATTCGTATTGTGGATATTAAGGCCATCGTAGGCACAGGGCCGTGGATCCTCGGGCGTGTCCGTGCACAGCTTCTTCTCCGACACATTGATCACCAGGTACTTGCTGACATTGCGAGCAGCACAGGAGAGGGACACCAGGAACTCTGCATAATACAAGGCACTGGGATCGTTCAGGCAGGGGGCGATCTGTTCCGTGGGATCCGGCACAAATGTCTGCGGGCCCATGCTATTGATCGTCAGCTCCGGAAAGACAATAATGTCCGTCTCGCTTGCATTCGCCGACTGTATGATCTCTAGATAACCCGCCAGATTTTCCGACCAGGGGGAGGTGCTGAGTACGGATTGGCGGAACTCCACCACTCCGGCCGTATAGTAGTCGCTCTCGGCGATCGACGCCTGCAAAACCAGACACAAAAGCAGAATGTAAATAAGTGTGAAGTCCCCCGAATGTGCAAAATTGATTCCCCACCTGATGACTCAGGCCAGGGAGCAGCCCAAGGGTCAAGCAGAGCCAGAGGAGCCTCCAACCAGAGTTCGTTGCCATGTTGCCACGCTGATGAGTGTCTGTTCTTGTCTGGGGCAGTTCGCAATGCTTTTATACCCCACATCCAGCCATCGTTATCCGGCGCTCGGTTAATCTAATCATCAATCGCCAACGTGTCTTGCACTCTCCCCATGCGAAAGAGAGAAGAGAGTCGACCGACCGATCCAATCCGATCAGAGAATACAAGTTGGAGACCTGAAGACCTGGCGAAATTATACGCACTCTTGGCGGACATTTGGAGCTATTATTATGCCTCTATTCTAATGCCATGTTTGTGGACCGTGGCCATGATTATTGGGTTTTTGTGGGCATTGACCATTGGACTGTATTTCGGGTCAACTATTATTATATATTTTTCGCAAGTCTTATCGATGTCCAGCCCCAGACTTACGTTACTATTGTTAATCATCAATGGTCTCATGTTCCATGTACACTCAGAAAAACAATTTCTCAGGGTGCACCAAACTTTTTACATAAATCATTTGTTTCACTTCAGATATTGTAATTTTTATGGGCGAGGGCACATTTCTTTTATCAGCCGTCGATGGCTTATCAGCGACTGATTTGTATCAGAATCGAAGATTGCTTATTTTTCTTGGAACTCAAAGTGGGACCATCCGTACTTGTCCACGGACGTGTTTAATATAAATTTGATAAGTAGGCGAGAAGAGGTGGCTATCATAATACTCGAATTTATCCGATATATCCATTGTGCATTTACATACATCCGAGATTTTTTAGTGAGAAACTACGCTTTTAATATACACTAATAAAGTTATGAGCTGTACCTCAAGTTATCCAAATTTATCCATATGTTATCCACATTTATCCAAAGGTATCGAATTTTACCGAGAAAAGTTTTATTTGAATTTCCACGTGTTTACCATTATTGTAACACATTTTTTTTTCATCCAAAATTTATCCACTTTTATCCATAGCTATCGAGTTTTATCCAGAACATTTCTATAGGAGTTTCGACGTGTTTACAATTATTTAAAAAAAATTTGTATGCATCCAAAATGTATCCACATTTATCCGAAAATATCCATATTTATCCAAAGCCATCGAATTTTATCCAGAACATTTTTATATGAATTTATATAACTCTGTTGCCATCCAAAAATGTATCCAAAAATATTTCTTTTATCCAAAATACTTTCATAAGAAATTCATCCAGGCTTTGAGTCTTTTATTTGATTTATTTTATTCAAAATTTATCCACATTTATCCAAAGCTCTCGACTTTTATCCAAAATATTTTCAAATGAAAATCAACGTGTTTATGAGGCTTTCATTCATCAAAAAGTTATCCACACTTATCCACTCTAATTCGAAAAATTTTGTAGGTATTATAAATCACAGAGATTTGCAGAGGTTAGCAGAAAACTTAGCAACTTTTCAGCGTCTAAATCAATGGACATTTGTTGATAACCATTCCATCCAACGACAGTTGAGTGGAAACTTCTACGAATTCCACACATCAGCAGTCAAAATATCTGCCAGCCGCATCACTCTGATAATTGCTGCCACAATCGGCAGAATACTCGTAAAGGTCTCAGCCACCACTTGAGTCGACTCGGCTCCATTTTTCGGCTATTATCCTGCTTCTTTGGGGCTTGTTTTTCTTCCTGCTTTTTTTTTGTCCGTTGGAGCGAAGCTGCATAAACGAGTACATAGTGCCATCCGCATATCCTCTCGCATGCGGCACTTAATGCATTTCCATACGCTCCGATGCAAAGGACCCAAAGCCTCCGAAAAATTCCTTGGCTGCTTAAGCATCTTAATACTGAATGCAACATAAATTCGAGTGGCAGAGACTCCCAAACACACCTACAGGCTGCCACAGACTCAGACTCAGCCTCCTCCTCCTCCTCCGCCCACTCGACAATCCTTTCCGTTTATCCGCTTCCATGGTCGTTGCTTCTTATGCTCTTATGCTCTCATTTCTGGCCCAGGCAAATTGATTTGCGGTAAAAATAAAAGTTAAAGTCGAAAAAGAAAATAAAATTAAAAAATAATGTTTGAGAATTTCTTGGTCATATATTTTAAATACGAAAATTTACCCAAGGGAGACGAACCGTGCGGTCGAGCCGTGCATACATATACATACAAACACACGCACACACACACACACACACACACGTTCCCATGTTTGTACCTGTAGACGGTGCTTCACGGCCCTGTTACCTGTTCATTTTATGCGCAAAAAGAAGCGAACGGTAAAACACGTTAAAAGCTAAGACGAGGCCCCAGCAACAACAACAACACAAAGATGTGGAAACTGGAGAGAAATTGAGGCACAGCAGGCAGGGCAAAGAAACGCGAGAGGAAAGTCTCATGGGACCACAACGAAAGTGGGACACACTTCCCTTTCTTCGTGAAAGATATACTCTTTGGGTTGAGATTACTTATCGATAGATAGATTTAAGTAGATGCCTAAGTAGGTGCTACCAAAACAAGGAGAAGCTTAAGAAACCACTAACACTGGATCCATCGCGGAATAACAGTTGATTATGATTATCCCTTCAGCCAAGGACTCTCAGGTCTCCTCCCGAGCGACCATTGCTTTTGCAAGTTCTCTATAATCTACAAACCACATATGTATTTCCGGAAATGCAACGAGTATTCCTGTTACGAATCGCCCCACATATTACTGCTACCCGGCGGCAAGGTCTCAGGTAAATGCTGGCAAAGAACGTGGAGCGGAGGCGGTCGGTGGTTCATTTAGTTTTTTGGCCTGGAACCTGCCCCACATAGGTAGGCGTACATGCATGAGTAGAGTATATGTATGCCCACATATGTATGTATGTATGTATGTATCGCAGGGGGTTGGTGGGTTTGAGGGTCGCTGGGTGGTTGTGTGCTCCATTCGTTGCTACTTATGTTTAAGCTTCGTATTTAAGCTTTTTGCACGATTTCCTCTAACAAATGGATTTTCACTTGTTGCCCAGTCAAACGCACCGACCCTCACATGCCTCTGTGTTGTGTGTGTGTGTGTGTGTGTGTGTGTGTGTGTGTACGGTGTATCTGTGTGTTGTATGGCCTTGTTGTCATGCTCATTTTTCTCTAGATCCCCACGTGCTCCTCTTGGACCAGGAACTCAATTCCTCTTTTGCTCTTTTGCTAACAAATAATTTAATTTCTTGGGTCGTCTTTTATATTTTTCCACCCTTGGTTAGCCTTCCTCTTTTTTTATGGGCGTACTTTCTGTGGATAATCCTGGGGAAAGATCCCTTGGCTTTAAGTTAAGTTTCGACCAATCGATGAACATTGACCCCACACTCTGTGCTCCCTCTCTCTCTCTCTCTCTCTCTCTCTCTGTTGATTAGTGACATCATATTCCTTAGCAATGCAATATTGGGGTGATTGGGTGGGGGGGGAGGGTGTGGGTGATGAGAATGAGTAGTGCATGATGAGTGAGCACTGGGTGGCTCTGGTGCTCTGCCTCTGGGCCTCACCAGATTTTTGTCTGCTTGATTAATTGCAATTTTGTTGTTGCCCCGAGCTCGGGCAATTTGTTAGCCACCAAACAGGGAACATGGCTAAGAAGGATGCTCTTACATGTGTGTGCGTGTGTGCGTATGCGTATGCAAAATAAAAAGTATTATTAATGATGGCCACAACGGGCGGCAGTTCTCAGTTCTCAGATCTCAGTGTTTGCCTGCATTTGACATCACTCATACGACGCGTTGTCTGAGATTTATGCCAGAACTGAAACAGAGGGTATGGGATGCAAGGGGTGTTTGTATGTGAAAAGGGTGTGAAGTGGTTCCGGCTTGCCGACTGACTGATTAATAACGGACGCTTAGGGCCAGCAAGAATAACAGACACAAAACCAAGAACAAAACCATGAAAAAAAACACCAAAAAAACAGATACTAGCCTCAAAGCTCGAACCTTTAGATACACTTTCCCAATTCATCTCAAACATTTAATTATGGGCGCAGTTACGCTTAAGAGGACATTGTCGTTCCATTGACTCGAAATTGGAATACTCAGGCACTGGGGAAAAGCCCCTCCGCGTGAAATACATTCATCTTTTCATTGCAAAAGTGTAATACTCTTGCCAAAGGGTATCACAAGGCGAGTGACGACACACGGGCACACAATGAACTTTATCTACACATGAGTCTCTGCCCCCTTTCTCTGTCTCTCTCTTGCTTTTGCTCTTTGCATGTTCTTTGCGGCTTTGTACTTTTCCAGAGAAATGTGTTTACATGTCTGCGATTAGCCGCATTTGTGGCAAAATGATTTTCTTTGCCTCCAGATGATGGACAGGACTCCGCAAAGAGGGAGACAGGACCGAAATGATTCCGAATCAATATTCAAGATATTTAACTGGCTTACATTTACATTTACACACATGTATATAACACAAAAGTAATCAAATCAGTCTTTGGTTTTAGTTAATTTTTCTATTTTATATATTTTAATTTAAAATATCTAACTGGTAAGGCTGTCAGCTCGAATTGCAGTATTTTCATTGAGTTCTAAAGCCTATTACAATAAGCCTTTGTATCGGCTTTCATCAATTATTCGTACCTTCTGATTCCCCTTCTGATTGCAGAGTCCTTTTATGGACGAGTTCATAGCCCGATGCCTGGTCATGTCAGGCCTCTGATTTATAGTCGTGTATCTGGCACAAGCTCGTCGTCCCAGCGTCCCCACCTGGTGACCCACCTGGTGTGGTTTAATAGCCTTAAACGCGCTGGCTAATAAGTTTTCTCCCCCATGATGGTGGACGTGGACTTGGCGTTTGCCTTTTGCTCTTCGAGATTTATTGACATATAAATTTAATGCCCATCCACAGCCATGCCCCCACATGGCGGAACAAAGTTAGGAGCAGTCGTTGATTGAATGCGCTTTACTGCCTGGGATTTCCGTTAGTAAATTGAAAAAATAAGCAACTTGGAAGCCAGCCAGCCACCCCCCGATCTCTTGGGTCATGTCCCAGGTTTTTTGGGATTTACATAGTTTTTTTTTCTTCTCTTTTTTTTTGATAATTGAAAGAGTAAAACCGATCTGGACTCTAACAGATTGCACAGTGGTTCGGCCAGGGAAAGAGATACATCCAATTTCGGTCCATTTCCTTTCCTTTCGATTTGCAATTACACTTTTGAATATCATCAAATAAAGCTACGAGTAGATACCCCTCATGCTCATCCCTTTCGTCCCCATCATCTTCATCCATATTCGCAACCATATCGTCATCTCTATCTCCATTTTTCGATGACTTCTCCTTCTTCTTTTGGGTCTTTTGGGTGGGTGGGCACCGTTTTTCAATGTCAGCGGAATGCAGTCGGCAAAAAAGAGTGAAACTTTCGCTCTCCTACAGACAGCAATGGGACTTTTCAATAGACAGAATCAAGCGCCATTAGTTTGACTGATTTCCTATGGCTGGAGGGAAGAGAATGGCAGTGGCAGTGGCAGTGCCAGTATCTTGCAATGGAATCGAATTGAACGGAATGCCAGACCGCCATGCATGAAATGGATGCCCAGACCAGGCCAAAGCCCACATCCTCACCCACACCCACACCCACACACGAACAGGTAAATAGCGAGCATCTCTAAGCCCCGAACAGGATACAAAAGCCATAAGTCAAGGAGCAGCAGCAACACACAAGTATCAGCACCGGATGACAAGGACGAGCAGCACGACTCGAAATTCAATTCAATTTCTTAGCTCATGAAACGATGCCAGAGCGTCCCGACATTTCCCTCAGAGCTGCAAGCGTGACACGAGACCGGAGCCCCCACCGCCCACGCCCCACCCTAAAAGTTCTGATAGAATTCTCATGGATGAAGATAACAGGACTTGCGTTTCTTGGAACTCTTATATTATATTTCAGAAATCAATATATAGCAATAAAACTTTGGCCTCTAAAGGGATTTCTTCGTCTGAAGATTTCAATCACGGGCCTCGTTCAGCTCTAATTACCTTCAGTCCTTGGCACACGGCTCTGTCCTCCCTCTCAGCCACAAAAAAAAAGACCCCACACTTCCTACGTCTCATCCCCAGACTGGGTTTTGCCATCGTTTTGCTTGTCGTCTGGCTAGGTTCAATGCAGTTCAGTAAATATTATGCTAAATTGAGATAATTTGTTGGTTGGCACACACACACACACACACACACACACACTCACACATACACCAGCCACACAGGAGTAGGATGTGGATCCTACACCAACATCCTGGCGTGTCGCCATTTTGGCTCCTGGCGTGTCCTTGCGCCATGGCTGAAATGGATTTGCATGTAAATTTGTTTTCGCCTTATAGTCGCACATTTTTTGCCCGTTTTTGCACATTTTCTAGATTTCTATCGTAATTGACGGCTTGTTATGGCCAATACGTGTACGGTATAGGTTGACAATCGACAGTCGACAGCCCCGAGGGGGCACACACAGGCAGATTGCAGTTATGCCTTCTTTTTGGTCGGAAATATCCATGGCATTCATGCCGATTGAGCCGATACGACCCCTGCTGCGCTTTGTATACCACCAAGTATTCGTAATCAGTGGAACAAAAGAATGAGGGAATGAGTATTCTTCTTGAGGCATTAACAGGGGTATCGCATATGCTTTCCTCAGTCTGGAGCTCTACGAATTAGTGATGCGTCCAACACGCCATCATTTATTTGAAAGCGGATCGAGTGTATGGTTTCGATGTCTTCGTGGATATCTTTAGGCTAAAGTATTCCAAAACCCAGTCCACAACAACAGTCCCAACACTGCACTAATTCAGGTAAGATATCATTACTAATTCTAGTCTAGAATTCGATGATTTTTGAATGCTTTCTTGCATCTCTTGTGGTTTTGTGGTTTTGTATTGGACCTCTAACATTTCAACAGAACCGATGGGCTCCACGCCACGGAATCTGCTTCAAATATTCAGAGGGTATTCAGGACTACGTATGTTTTCATAGGTATTATTTTCTGTTGCACGCCTCATCAGACAGGTGCATTGTCTGGAGCTGGACCAGAGGGTTCGTTTCGGTGCATATTTTCTGTAAAAAGTATGAAAATATTCATCCCACGGCCCCCCTGTTGTGCTTGCCTCCCATTGTTTTCGGCTGCTTTTCCTCTGTGGACTGATTCCGGGACGGAGGACTCAAGTATTTCATGCAGTCTCCCCGCTGGCCTTTTTTATTGCATATTTTCTGAGACCAAAGCAACGGATGAGCCGCTCCACGTAGCCTCAGTTTTGCATTGCCTGTCTCCAAGGACGAGTCGGTGACCGAAAAGGGAAGCCAGACCCGACATCGTCCAAAAAACCCCGAGGCCAAGAGCCCCCACCAACCACCAACCAACTATCACAATAAATATTGTGGGGACGTGGGGCAAGTCGTGTGTGTAAAATAGTCATTAAAAAGGGACATAGGATAGTCGGAGTCGAAGGATCCTATCGTATCCTACATCTGTACCCCGTGGACCTCTTCCGTGTTGCTGCTGTGTGACAATGCAATTAATTGTTTTGTTTATCGGTTTATCGCAGAGTTTACGCTTGATTTGACCCAAAAGCCAAACAAGGAGTCCCGTTCCTGTTCCCAGGCTCAGTGTCCATTTATTTATTGGACTTAGGGCCCAAAGAGGCAGAGATAACGGGCCGCGGCGAGGGGGCAGTGCAATGGAGTGTGACCAGAGGCCACAGAAAGGCAGCATGAGCATCTCCCGAGAGATGAACTTTCAACAAAACTCAAACGAGTTGGAATTGAATTCGTTGTGATTTCGGGTATCCTTTGGCCTATCCCTGGCCGCCCCCCCCTCTCCAATCCGCACTCAATCGAAGCCCGATGAGTCCTTGGACGACAGGCACTCTCTCCCATTCTCTCTATCCCTTTCGAAATGTGTCTATTTCTGGTATTTGTATTTGCTTGTCCCTTGCCACACGAACCACACGATATTTGCATATTTCCATTTTTCGGCCGGCCACAGGACATCCAAAATGGGAATAACAATGCCATGAGCCATTACCCAGGACATGGCAGGAGGCAGCCGCATAATGCGCTTTTCAAAAACTAATACGAATATAATGTGTCCTCTGGCTGAGGGGTGGCGCTGGGGGAGGGGAGCGCTGTGTGGCTACCAGAGTGGCATCCACTGGCACATCAAGTGGCAAGGACAGCGCTGCATTGTTGTGACCGTTGCGTACCACTTGCCACTGCATCGAAGGACACTTCAGCCACTGTATGGGCATAAATATAGAGCAATATTTATAGTAATAAGAGGCGACAGCTCGCATCGATGGCTCAATCGACTAGTGGATATTTTTGCTTCACATGTTGCGCATTTTTCCCAAAAAAAAACCAATCCAGTAATTCGCTGAATACATACGTAAACTCAGATTCAATCAAGCTATCCCTCGACTTCCCTGCCCTTTGGAATGGACTCAGCACCCAGAACGCGGGCACTATCCACGGACGACCAAGCATCCAAAGACTGTAGACCAAAAACAAAGTATAGCTTTGCCGTTAAACAGCATTCAGATCTAGCTTGAGCTAGGCATAGGCTCCATAACAACGGTGGCCCGTGGCATGTGGTTGGTCGGCCTTGATGCTTGCCTGGCTCCACCTCCAGCCATGCCAGCTATAGGTCTCTCAGCTAGTCAGAATCACGCAAGAACCACTGGCTATGGAGCAGTGGAAAACCTTCGCTGGATGCAAAAAGGCAGACTATACGTATACGTTATTTATACCGCATTTTACTGGTTGGGAGGATTGAATTGTCTCAATTATGGCATTGTTCATAAGTATGCCAGGAGTAAGCCCAACAAGGCATTTACTAACGTTTATTAACAAGAGGTTAACAAATAACATTAGGGCAGCGGAATATCAAGAATGTCAATGGCTAAATCTTCTTGGACCATGCCCAGATTCTCCAACGCTGTCACTTCAGCGACAGTAGCGTTGTGCAGGCTACAGGAGTTATACATCTCCTCGAGGCCGCGGCTATGGCAAATGGCCCAAAAGAAGTAATTGACAGCGAGTGGAAGGTTCTTGAGACGCAGTTCCGCCCTGCCCAAGTTCTCGTAGATGAGACGACACTTTGGATCCAGGAGGATTGCCTGCTCCAGTTTTGCGAAGAACAATTCAATATCATCGTGCCACTCGAACTGCAGGACTGCCTGGTGGCACAGCAGCTCTGCATTCGTGGGCGACAGTTGTACCGCCTTCTCAAGGCACTTCGACGCTTGGAGAAAGTTCTTCTGTTCGGTGTACACTTGGCTCAGCATCACAAGGCCCTCCTCACAGTCGGGGAACCTGCCTGTCGTCAGCTGGAGTCGCTGAATGGACATCTCAAGGCGATGCTGGTCACCTTCCTTGACCGCGATACGGTAGTCGGCTAGGTGTTTGTTGAGCACCGTAAGGGCGTGGCTGGGAGCCAAACGCGCTGCGATTTCAAAGTCCTCCAAGGCTTCCTCGAACCGCTTCATGTGGCTTAGGAGCATAGCACGTTGATTGTATATGTCGGGATTTTTGGGGCACAGCATTTCAGCCTGACTCAAAGTCCCCAGAAAGAGGCCGTCCTGATTTGCTTGGAAGATGAGAGTAGCGTACCTAATTTGAGCGTAGATACGCAATTCGACATCTGTTTCGTCATTGCTGAGTAAAGTTTGAAGGTCCTGTTCGCATTCCTGGGCAGAGCCACTAAGCAGATGGAGTGTGGCACGCAGGAACAGAGCATGCATCTTGTACTGGCCGCCAGCCGCAGAGGAATCAATCTCCTCGGTGCAGGCCGAGATGACATCCTCGAACCGCTCCTCGAGGAAAGCGCGGTGGGCACGCACGAACCCGCGCACAGGGGCGTCTGCCACAGCTGATGAAGGCAGCGTCATCTTCAGCATGGGATCCGCGATAAAGGTTGCAAGATACGATCTGATGTAGCGCTTCGAGGGCAGACTTGTTCCCTCACGGAGCATGTGCTCTTTGGCATTGGCAATGGCCAACTGCTGTCCCACGCTGTGCCTAAACTTCATGTTCTGTTCGTTCTTGCAATCTTCCAAAATACAGGTGGCTGTAAGATCGGCCAAGCACTCCTTCAGGTCCATGGTGGCCACGTGGGCACAGGCCCGACGAAAGTAGGCCTTCGCATAGCGACGATTGTACTCCAGTGCCTTGGCGCAATCTTCCTTAACTTGAATCCAGTTCTCGATCATCTCGTGACAGGCTGCGCGGTTGTGATAGTAAATGGCCAACTCCGTGGTGTGCTCCTTGGGGCACATGTCGATGGCCTTGCTGTAGCAGCGTATGGCATCCACGTATCTATAGTTGTAGAAGCAACGGTTGCCGTCCTTCTTGAATTTTTCTGCTGCACTCAGGGGAGATATCGGCTCCTCCAAGACGCCTGTAGCTACCTGCCCGGACACCTCCGGGTTGTTGTCCGGAGCCTCCAGTTCGGCTATGGGCTGAATTGCATCCAGCCCCGGCTTGTCGGTCATCTTCCTGTAAATATATTTACCGAAAGTGACGGCCAAAGGCATGCAAACGATGATAATAGACGGCCATTTCCCCAATGACAGCGGCATTTTCTGGTGTGGTCTGGTTAAAAGAATTCTATTAGTTTTGGAAGTTCACAAAACGAACAATTTTACGATTTGGAATACGTGCACTGTTTCTGTTTGTCTGTAAAATACGACTGTCAAAAACTGAACTTAATATGTACAGCCTTCTGAAATGATAATAAATATCGATTAAAGACGGTGTCGATAGACATGACACGACCCGACAAAAATTACGTATGAAATATATCGTAGGATTAGACTGAGTATCGGGCGTAATTGTGTGTTGGTTTTTGTGGAGCTGGGCGGCAATCATTGAGTGAAAGATGTCGTATATTTCTGTGATTCGTGTTGTGTTTCGGCGGGAAGTGGAGCCGTAACTAGCATTAGTTCTCGCTTACAAGCTAAGGCCGACCGAGAGCCGTGAAGTTCCGAGTAATTCGCTTTGTAGAAGGGAGGATCTAGATGGAGGTATCCTACAAAGAGTACGAAAATGCAAAATATGAAACGCAGGTGGTGTATACACAAATACATACATATTTACAATATATCAGTCGTCTATTTCCCTCTGGTATTCGGGTAGGAACCTAACTCGCATTATGTGAGTTCTCGCTTTCAAGCTAGGGCCGCGCGCGAGCCGTGTGGATCGTGTGTATCGTGTGGATCGTGATGACACTAGCGGTGTCTGAGAGCTAGCTGTTAACTGAGAACGGTACGCGGTAGCGATAACAGGCTATTAACCTGGAGTGCTAACAGCGCTGTTGCCCTGTTGTAGATGTTCCCCTGAACAAGGCTGGTTTTGGTAATTTTTTGTGTTCATCCCGAACTAAAATATCACTGAAATACGAGTACGAGCATGAGTATGAGAGGAGGTGAAAAAATACATCTCTGAATATCTCGGATTGGTGTTGTTTTGAGTTCAAATTCAATTCATATTTGTGGGACTTGTGGGGTCTGTGTCCTTTCGCGAGTCTGCAAGCGATAATTAAGGCAATTATGGATTAATGTCAGACCAGAGGAAATACGAGGATATAAGCCCCAAGCCAACATTTAAATAATAAAAATAAAATGGAATTCGCTGTGGTCTGCGCCAAAAAAACCTGCAAGAAGCAGATCACTCACGATCAGCCGAATGTCCCCTGCTGGCTCTGCGACAGCGTAGTCCACGCAAAATGCGCGGGATTTTCTGGCCTCGTGAGCGATGCCATAGCCAAACGTAATGGCTTGCATTACAGTTGCGAGGCATGCCGTGCGGTGGAGAAAGACATGGTGGCTTTCATGAGGCAGACGCGGAGTGGCTTTAAGGAGCTGACCGTTGGTTTCAAAAACCAATACGATCGGCTCCTAGCCATGGAGGCTCAGTTTAGCGGTTTAAAACTGCTGAATGAGTCTCCGAGGCGCAAAAAGGTCACTCCGCGGGACCTGCAAGTGCCAACCGTCACTCAGCCGTGCGCCGCCGAAAAACTGACTCCGACCACTCCAAGTGTGCAGCAGTTGATCTCGTTTGCCACTCCAAAGGCAACGAAAGCTGCTGGCGATGCAGATTCGGTAGCCGAATTCATCGCCTCGGAGAATGTGCAGCCAAGTACGTCTGCTGCGTCCGTGTCCGTGGTGTCCGCAAGTTCACTAGTTGTCCCGTCTATCCCGATCCCACCAGTAAATAGACGTTCCGGACCTCCGGATATTGCCACCACAGGTACTAGACCTGCGGTGACTAAACCACTGGTGGGAGTCCCACCAAAACGACAAGTTTTTGTTTCACGGCTGGCCCCTGACCTCACATCTAATGATGTAACTGCTTTCATTCAAAGCAAAATAAAAGCCGTGGGTTTAAAGGTGGAGAAATTTAACTTCTCTTATGCCAGGGAGATAGCGTCGTTTAAGATAAGCATCTCCCCAACTCAATTTGACACCATTTGCTCCACCAAATTTTGGCCGGAGCATTTGGTGGTGAAGGAGTTTAAGGCTAAGAAGAAGAATAGGCCCCCCATATCGCTTCCAAATCTTTCCAGCGTGCCACCCTCAACCTCAACTTCCTCTTCCTCAACTTCCCGTCTTGCTCCAACCTTTCCAAAAAACTAACTTCTCTTTTAGTAACCTATCAGAATGTAAGAGGCTTGCGTAGTAAGCTCAGCATTCTTTTCCGGGATAGTGTTGCATTTGCTTCCCACGTTATTGTGTTTACTGAAACCTGGTTAAAGCCGGACATTCTTAGTTCCGAGGTTTTGGCAGGTCGGTACACAACTTTTAGAAAGGACCGTTCGTCTCGACGTGCAGGAGGGGTTCTAATTGCAGTGGACTCTTACTTCACGTCAGAACACTTCACAGTCCAAGTTCAACAGGAACTGGAATTCCTGTGTGTAAAACTGATTCTTCCCGCTTTCGCTATATTCATTACTTGCTCGTATATCCCACCTTCTTCGGATATTTCAATTTATGAGCAGCACTTGTCCGCTTTAACCGCTGTTGCTTCCTCACTATCTGATAAAGATCGTATGACAGTTCTTGGTGACTTCAACTTGCCAGGAACTGTTTGGTCTTCGGTAAACGAGTCTAGTATCCTAGTGCCCATGTCACGACATGACTTTGTTGACGGCTTGCTTGACCTGTCCCTGTCTCAAGTCAATCATGTGAAAAATTCCTTGGGTCGATTGCTTGATCTATGCTTTGTATCGGATCCGACCATAGTGTTGTTAACCCGAGCCCTTCCGCTCACTATACCTGAAGACGCCTACCACCCTACTTTCGAGGTGTCGCTAGACATAGGACCAACTGTATTGGATCGGTCGAGTAGACTACCTGAACGTGCCCGCTGCTTTCGTAAAGCCGAGTTTGCGAAGCTTAATTACCTAATTAGGGATTTTGATTGGTCCGCTTTGTACTTGTGCACTGATGTCACAAAAGGCACAAACATTTTTTACAATGCTCTTGGCACATTTTTTGATTCTTGTGTCCCGCTTTCTTGTCCGATTAGATCTGGAAAACCCCCTCGGTTTACCAAAGAGTTATCCAGTCTAAAAAACTTAAAATCAAGACTTTATAAAAAATTTCAAGAAGTGGGTTCTCCTACTTCTCACTCTCGTTATGTAATAGCTCGGTCAAACTTTTCAGTTCTTAATGCTCAATGCTATAAGAACTACCTATCTCGTTGCAGGATACGTTTTTCTCAGGACCCTAAACAGTTTTACTGCTTCGTAAACAGTAAGCGTAGAACGTCCGCACACCCATCCTCGCTATCATTTTGTAATACGTCGGCAAATAATGATCAGGCAATTGCCGATCTTTTTGCCCAGTTTTTCCAAACCACCTATTCTGAGGAACGCTACTCTGGTCAACCGTACCCATACGGATTACCGAGGTCGAACGGCATTTTCAGTCCCTTGTTAAATGAATATTCCCTACTTCAAGATCTTCGACTAGTTAAGCCGGTGTTTTCACCGGGTCCAGACGGGGTTCCAGGTTGTGTACTCAGGTACTGCGCCGAGGCTCTGTGTGGACCATTGCTTAAACTATTCACCCTGTCCATTGATTCCTCTTGCTTCCCCCCAATCTGGAAGGAATCGTTTATAATTCCTCTCCATAAAAAAGGTAGCAAGTCTGATGCAAAAAATTATAGAGGTATAGCAAAGTTATCCGCTATTACCAAATTGTTTGAGAAGGTTTTAACTCCGCACTTGCAACATCTCTGCAAGTCACTTATATCTCCAACTCAGCATGGATTTATAAGGCGGCGATCAACCACCACGAACTTGTTAGAGTTTACCTCTTTCATTATTAAAGGCTTTCAAGGTAACTTACAGACGGATGTTATTTACACCGACTTTAGTAAAGCATTCGACTCTGTAAACCATTCCCTTTTAGCACATAAACTTGACCTTTTAGGGTTTCCGCCCAACCTCCTGAGATGGATTTCTAGCTATCTTTGTTCTAGGTCTCAAAGAGTCCTCTTCAAAAACTCCCTCTCTTTACCAGTAAAGGTTTCTTCGGGAGTACCACAGGGCAGCCATCTAGGCCCCTTACTCTTCACACTCTTTATTAATGACTTGCCTTCAGTAATAACATACTCTCGAGTACTTATGTATGCGGATGATGTTAAACTCTGTGTCCAGTACAAGGACATTTCATTTCATTCTCGCTTGCAATCCGATCTCAATAGCTTTCAGTCATGGTGTTGTGCAAACTTGTTACACCTTAATGCCTCGAAATGCAAAGTTATGACATTTCATCGTTCTAACCCTTTGTTGGCTCCCTACACCCTATTTGGGGGTTCTCTTGAGAGAATTACCCTGGTGGATGATCTGGGTGTTATGTTAGATCCCAAGTTAAAGTTTTCCGAACACATTTCTACCATGGTAAATAAGGCCATGGGCGTGCTTGGGTTTATAAAGAGGTGGTCAAAGGAATTTGACGACCCCTATATAACAAAGACTCTCTATACCTCGCTTGTTCGTCCGATCTTAGAATACGGCTCCTGTGTATGGTGCCCTCAGTACAAAGTACACCAGGACCGTATAGAATCAGTACAGAAAAACTTTTTACTCTTTGCTCTGCGGGGCCTTAACTGGGATGCGGGTGTAAGACTCCCATCTTACTCTAGTAGACTATTATTAGTAAACCTCCCATCCTTAGTTAACCGTAGAAAAAGGCTTGGTGTGATATTTATGCACAACTTGATCAGGGGTGACATAGACAGCCCTGATCTGTTGAGCCGCATAAACTTCACGATTCCTATTAGACTGACTAGAAACTTTATACCGTTGTTCCTTCCACTTTGTAGATCGAATTATTCCTTGCATGAACCGTTTAGGGTCTTATGCTCGGATTATAATTCCCTCTACCATATTATATCCTCCACTAATTCTCTTCCTCTTATTAAATTACTAATCCTTACACACCTTTCTAGTAATTAGTAATTGTAGTGGTATTTGTACTTTGAATTTTATTGCATGCTGCGTTTTGCCTGGGATCCGCGCGTAACAGCCTTCTGCTGGTGTCACACGGGCCACTTGACGGTGCAGTAATTGCATCGCCTCTTGACATTGCATGTCAACGTCCAATATAGCGACGATTGTACTCCAGTGCCTTGGCGCAATCTTCCTTAACTTGAATCCAGTTCTCGATCATCTCGTGACAGGCTGCGCGGTTGTGATAGTAAATGGCCAACTCCGTGGTGTGCTCCTTGGGGCACATGTCGATGGCCTTGCTGTAGCAGCGTATGGCATCCACGTATCTATAGTTGTAGAAGCAACGGTTGCCGTCCTTCTTGAATTTTTCTGCTGCACTCAGGGGAGATATCGGCTCCTCCAAGACGCCTGTAGCTACCTGCCCGGACACCTCCGGGTTGTTGTCCGGAGCCTCCAGTTCGGCTATGGGCTGAATTGCATCCAGCCCCGGCTTGTCGGTCATCTTCCTGTAAATATATTTACCGAAAGTGACGGCCAAAGGCATGCAAACGATGATAATAGACGGCCATTTCCCCAATGACAGCGGCATTTTCTGGTGTGGTCTGGTTAAAAGAATTCTATTAGTTTTGGAAGTTCACAAAACGAACAATTTTACGATTTGGAATACGTGCACTGTTTCTGTTTGTCTGTAAAATACGACTGTCAAAAACTGAACTTAATATGTACAGCCTTCTGAAATGATAATAAATATCGATTAAAGACGGTGTCGATAGACATGACACGACCCGACAAAAATTACGTATGAAATATATCGTAGGATTAGACTGAGTATCGGGCGTAATTGTGTGTTGGTTTTTGTGGAGCTGGGCGGCAATCATTGAGTGAAAGATGTCGTATATTTCTGTGATTCGTGTTGTGTTTCGGCGGGAAGTGGAGCCGTAACTAGCATTAGTTCTCGCTTACAAGCTAAGGCCGACCGAGAGCCGTGAAGTTCCGAGTAATTCGCTTTGTAGAAGGGAGGATCTAGATGGAGGTATCCTACAAAGAGTACGAAAATGCAAAATATGAAACGCAGGTGGTGTATACACAAATACATACATATTTACAATATATCAGTCGTCTATTTCCCTCTGGTATTCGGGTAGGAACCTAACTCGCATTATGTGAGTTCTCGCTTTCAAGCTAGGGCCGCGCGCGAGCCGTGTGGATCGTGTGTATCGTGTGGATCGTGATGACACTAGCAGTGTCTGAGAGCTAGCTGTTAACTGAGAACGGTACGCGGTAGCGATAACAGGCTGTTAACCTGGAGTGCTAACAGCGCTGTTGCCCTGTTGTAGATGTTCCCCTGAACAAGGCTGGTTTTGGTAATTTTTTGTGTTCATCCCGAACTAAAATATCACTGAAATACGAGTACGAGCATGAGTATGAGAGGAGGTGAAAAAATACATCTCTGAATCTCTCGGATTGGTGTTGTTTTGAGTTCAAATTCAATTCATATTTGTGGGACTTGTGGGGTCTGTGTCCTTTCGCGAGTCTGCAAGCGATAATTAAGGCAATTATGGATTAATGTCAGACCAGAGGAAATACGAGGATATAAGCCAACAGGCGCTTTTCAAACAGACCACAGCAGCATGAAAGTCGAGCGACTAAATGCATGTACATATTTGAGAGGGAGAGAGAGTCAGACAAATGTTATTAAAGGTAATCATACACATTTGTTGCGTCCGTCAACATTGTGTCTGTGCCAGTGTGTGTGTGGAAATTCAATTGAAAATCATTTTATTGGCAAAGCAACCAGCATTCCATGCACCACACAACCGAATACCCATTCGAAATACGAGTTAGCGATAATTTTCAGCATTTTCAACACGTCAACGCTACGTGTTGATGATGCCAACAATTTTCCATTTTCCATTTTCATTTCCATTGCAGCGGCAGCACGGCAGGAAAGGAATTCAGAGGCAGCGCCATTGTAATGGCATTTCTATTGCCAGAATTTCCACACGATTGCACTGGGGGGGGTGGGGGTGGTACGTTTCTATTTCATTTCCTTTTTTTGCATTTTATTACTGACACAATGCCAAAGTGCCACAGGCAGCTCCCCAGTAGTCCATTACTAGTCATATAATCGGTTTATCTCATGGATATATCATGCAACTCCACCTCCACATGCAACAGATTAACTTTGTGATTTGGCGGGCATATGGAAACATACAAAGACGATGGACAGATGGATGGATCTTTGGTGCGTACAAGCTGCTGATTTTTTCTTATGATTCTAGATTGGTAATGTACAGATTATATCGGACGAAAGTTGTATTTGTATATTTGCAAGTTTCTGTCAAAAACATATGGATGGGAATAAATATATTTGCAGCATTAAATGTATTTCCTAAGCTAATGAAATCATTCACTGATTGATTGGAGTATACATTTAGATCAAAAAGCATCTATGAGATATGCTCTGTTTGATTTGTGATATGTTCCGATTGATTCTCCCAAAGGAAAAACATTTCCCGTTGCCCATTGCCCATTGCCCAATGCCCCTTCCTCCTTTTGTTGTGTGGTGCCATTGGTGCCTGTGTGTGTGTTTTCTTTTTTTTTGGCCACTTGTCCACGCAGGAAGAGCCCTCCGGTCCCATCCCCATACCCACTTTATCCCCAGCTATACATATATACACATGCAGATGTATAATTTAACAGGCTTGGGGTTTGGTTGGTGGTTCAGGGCGGTCCGAAACGCAAAAAAAAATAAAAATATAAATAAGAAAGAATATGATTACGTATACGCAACGTGGAACTTCTTTAACTTCAAGTGCGTGCGTGGGTGTGGGGCATGGGGGCAAAGGACGAGGTGTGTGTGTGTGTGTGTGTGTGCCTGGTCATTACGCACGTAGCATTTGTGCCGCTGAGCTCCAGCACCACCACAATGACCCGCGCCCGCCTTGTTTGGACTCCATGCTGCCGCACCGCCGAGCACATAAAAATAAATCAAGTTTTTCTTCATTTCCTTTGCTTCTTTCTTTTTTCTGTTGTAGGCCGTCCCTTTTTCGTACTTTCTTTTTGCTTTCGTTTCGATACCCTTGCAGCAAAAGGGTGCTATCCATTTGGGGCACTTGTTTGTTTATAATTGATCAATAAATTGTATACAATTTCCATCAGCAGCTAAGGTAGCGTCTTACGTACTTTCTGGCAAAGACTCCAGTAGATCCAGAAGTGTATAGGCTAAGAATTCACTAGCAGCACTCGTTAACGAATGTGCCTATTCGCTTAGGGGTAATTTGTACAAATAATTAAAGTCTGTATCATCTATAGAGAAGCTGCAAGGGTATCGAAAAGGTAAGCCCTAAGTGCGTGTATGTATTGGGCACACAATATGACCGTCTTAAAGATTTTAACTTTATTTTTATTTGGCATACTTAAAGGGGGGGGCCTGTACACGTACCTGATGGACGGATGGATAAATAACGACGACACCGCTGACACCGCGTGTGCCTTCTAAACGCGTTTTTTATGCAAAACTAACTGAAGTCCAGCGGGAAGCGATAAACGACGGTAACAGAAGAAACATAAACGAGAAACAGGAGTGGCTAAAAAACGCAGAGGCAACAAAATATAGATCATGCGAAAGAAGCACACAGATAAAACAGCAATAACAGTCACAACAAAGGGAATACCATAAATAAGTGAGAGATAGAGAGAGAGAGAGACAGGGACTGGGACTGGGTGACAGCTTTTTAGCCGGGTTGTTCCCCTGCGAATGCCGGCGGTGTCAATCACTAGATATGGCACAAGGTAGTAGAATTATTCAACTAATAAAAAACGCATTTGCATACGAATAGGTACGGGGTTTTTTCGAGTAATTTTTAAGTCTAAACAACTGTTTGTTGGGCTACGCATTAGCCCAATATTAGCCAATAAGCCATGGATTATATCCGGTGGTGCAAAAGTAAAGTAAATCCCTATTATTTTACTCCGTTGTATTCTACATATGCTCCAGCCAGCCTTCTCTACCGTTCTCTTGGTCAGTGGCGCTCTCGCTTCCATTGGTCCAAGGATCGAATAGATCTTTAACTGACAAAGTCCCGAACAGACACCGAGCTGGACAAGCTGAAAAACCCCTATTTGAAAGAGAACTCAAATGCTCATTAGGAAAATGTTTTTCTTGAATATGCTTAAGCCAATTAGGAGTTCGAGCACAAGTACCAGTGTACATAAATATGTACCTATACATATGTATGTATATTCGATGATTGTAGTTTAGCAATCCTCATACTGCTTGAACCCTTAACGAGCAGAAAATGTTTTTACAAATCTGCAAACAATTAGAAAATTGCATTAAACAACAATAAAATTGAAACAGGCAACAGGCCAGAACTTGGAAGATCTGGGGGGAGGGAGGGGGGGAGAAAAACCAGGCAAAAGGCAAACAAGGAAACGCATTTGCCTTTCACTCTCTCCCTCCCTCTCTCTCTCTCTCTCTCGCTCTTTCTCTGTACATATTTACAACACAACATTTTAATAAAGTCAAAAAGGCGCCAAGGCAAGGCTCCGGCTCCACGGTCCCTCCACCAACGAACCAAAAAAATAGCTCGAGGAAAAAACAAGAGCAAAAGAGCCAGCAACAGCGATATAGAAAGAGATGGCAAGTATATATATGTGTGTGTGTGTGTGTGTGTGTGTGTGTGTGTGTGTGTGTGAAAGGTAAGACCTAAGGGGAAGCGTAATAAAAATATGAAAATCAAGTGAAATCATTTCCATTCAAATTCAAATGGCACACCAGAACGAGAAGAGGAGAACGAACGATGAAGTCAGTCAGTCAGTCCTCTGTTGGGGGAGTCTTTCAGTCATTCGAAGAGCCGGGGGGGTTGGGTTGGTTCAGGGGCACCTGCAAACTGATATTCAATTCAATCAGTTCTGCCTCAAACCTGGAGGGCATCCACACGGCCAAACGGGGGGCTTGGGGATTGGCCAGGAGACCTACCCATAAAAGGAGACGGAAATGGAAATGGGAATGGTTAAGGGAATGTGTGTGTGTGGTGCTTGTCAATTGATGGTACTGATTCTGAATGAGAACCCGAATTCAGCTGAAAAATAGTCTACATTTTAGAGATATTTTAAAAGAATTCATTTATTTCCAAACCGAAACCCAAAACCGAGAACCCGAATCGATATTTGAAATTTTGTTAGAACAGGAGAACCGAAATCGATATTTGTGGATACAAAAGTCGTCAGTATTGGGATGAATACCTCACCACCTATTTCAATATTGAGTTTGAATACCGATATTTTATGGGGACTTTGAACTGATGAACTGGTGCTCCAGTGCTCCAAGCGGTGGCCTTGTATGCCTGCCTGCCTGCCTCCCAGGCTGCCCCCAACTCCATCCATTACACAGCGCACACCCCCACATATTCCGCCTGATGCTGGCAACTTTGCGCCTCCTCCATTCACTTTAACAATAAATTTCAGCAAATAAATCAAAATGTAACAGGAGCCGTGTGGAATTTTCAAGTGGCAGGTGCCACAGGAGCAGCCATCAGCCACCACTCACCACCGCACCCGAGAAAAGAGAGAAAGAAAAGCAGCACGAGGGAAGAGAACAAAGTTTTTGATTTTTGTGGAAAGAAAAAATTGTTTGCCCAGGCCTCGAAATCGAATCGAAAGTTGTCTTTTGTGGAAAGGGGAAAGATATGGCAGAAAGAGAGGGGGAAATAGATGGGAGAAGGAGAGAGTGAGATATTGGCTAACCCATAAACAATCTCTCAATGAGAATTCCATCAACAATTATTCTCATTTATATGCATTTTGTATGTGTCGCGCGACATGTGGCTGCCCTTCTCGGTCGGTTGCCTTTTCTCTTCTCCTCAACCTACCAGCCCCATTGGGCAAGGATTTTCCCGGCGCATTGGACAAACGTTGGACACCTTTTAGAGCTTGAAACTTTATTCTTTTTGCACCTTGAAACATCCACCGTCCAGGAGAGTCAGGGATTGGAACAGCGACAGGGATTGGGATTGGGATTGGGCTTGGCCTTGGGCTTGGGCTTGGGACTGCGACTGGGAAGCAGGGGAATGTGGCATGCAAATGATGTTAAATCGCACGGAAAGTCACAGCGTGAATCCTGTCCAGCTTCAGAGCATTCCAGGCCAGCGGGTGGACTCTGAGAAGCTGTTGCTGCCACTGAAATCGTCATTGCCATTGATGCGTGTGTGTCACAGCGGGAGAGTCCATTCGAGGGTCCTCATCATGCCACAGCCACAACCTCTACTGCTGCTGCTGTTGCTATTTCTGTTGCTGTTGCTGCCACGGCCACTGTCACTGCCACTGCCACTGCCTCTGCCCTGTCCTTGCCTCGTGGCTGTGCCTCGCCTTGGCTCATTATAAGCGGCGCCCACTGTTGCATGGGGCAGCGACGCCGGCGTCGCTACCTGTTGGAAATGCAAACAATGCCTCTGCCCCAGCCTCTCCCACATCCCCACTTCAGCACGGCGCAGGCGCTGGAACGAACTCTACACGCTGGCCGTGAATTACTCGGTCTTGTAACCGTCGATTCATTCAAAAATACCCAATGCCCCTATTGCCCACATGCAGCAGTGGAGAGTCCCGAAGCGAAGCAGTGGTTCGTTCGTTCAAGAATTCGAACTCGGATTTCCTAGTGATGCTGCTGCTGCAGAGGAGAAGGATAAAAGTTGACATAAAGATCGACATTTGGTATGCGCAAAGCCTTCAGGATTGGATTACAATCAAAAGCAGGCCTCAGGTATCCCAAAGCATTTGAACGCGTATTAAAGACCCCCAATTAGGTATTGTCAAGGCATTAATGCGATGTGTAAATTAGAATTAGAACTTGACTGAATTCGATGCCCGATGCCTGGACCACGGCCTGGCTCTGCCGCTCGATGTGCTCCATCCAAAGGTCAAGAGGTCACCATTATCACCGCTTCCTTATCCGGTGAGTGTGGACGAAGGCCGCTTCTAGCTTCCGGGTGCCAGCGAGCGTGGATTCACGATCTACTTCGTCAGCGTCGCCTCACGCCCAGCCAAACAGCTCAAAATCCCATGCAAATAAAACCCCTTTAATAGGATGTTCAGTATAAACTGTATTTTACACCTGTACCTCCATTCTTGGCAGCAGAAGAGGGATTGTAAAATATTGGCGGTGGTGGTGCCTAAAGAAATAATTGAAAATACTGCTAGGGCAAGTATGTCTATCTGAGTACTAGGCTTTAGACACTACCTAATATACTCGATACTTCTGTGGGTCCCACAAAAAAACCAGAGGCTCCAATTATTTGCGAACGTCTGTACTGAAAATATCATAAAAAGAAAACTATTCTAAAAGCGAAAATCAATGACATCGAAAAAATGAAATTCCGCCACAAAACGATGCCCAAGCGATACTTTTCGATATTTCACTACCAGGCGAACAGGAAAATCAGAAAGCGACTTCCACATTTAACAGCTGGCTGGCGCATTAACAGCACACTGTTACGCCTAACAGGCCGCTGGAAGAGCAGGCTGGGCAAAATGTTAACATAACATATGATGTTACAGATGCCCGCCGATACTTTCAGAAGCGTAATTTAAATTCTGATTTCCTTATTTCCATCTTTTAATTATCCCATGCGTTGGTCCACCTATCACGCTCTACTCCTCTTTTGTTTGCCTAAATATTCACATTTTAATCGATTTTCACATTCATGGAAACATACTCTATGGCCTGGATGGCGGAGATTGTGATTTTTATTTATAAATGTACGAAAAAACACAAGAGTACCCAGTACCAACCATATCATTTCTATGTAATATTATAACTTGTAAAATCCTTTGTTCGAAAAACAGAAAGCTGTCCCAACGATACCCCTATGTTGGCGACACCTTTACCCATAGATGGGAAAGGAGACAAGCCAATACCAGGGACAAAGTGGAGGTTAGGGCCATTCCAGAACCCCCAACAGGAGCTGTAGCTGGAGCGCCGGCGGGCGGTGAGGATGTGGCTGTGACCGGGGCGCCACCGTGCGGCTGCAGATGATCCAAATTGTGGGTGGATGGCAGTTCCGTATAGTAGTTGGACCAAATGGCGAACGTGAGAAGATCGTTGCGCGGTCGGAGCAGTTCCAGATCCACACGAATAGCCTGCTCAGGGTGGGTGGCCGCCGCGGGGGTCTCCGTCCAGTTGTAGTGGGCCACGGCCACCGGCATGAACAGGCCATCCAGGGTACTGGGCATAATGAGGCGACGGCCTCGCGGTGCAGCAGGGAAGGTGCCGCCGATTCGGATGCTGGTGAAGTGATGTTTGTTGCCCACGCGAATGCTCTCGGGAAAGACAAAGCCGCAGCTCTGGATCTCCTCATCGAGGCAGGAGAAGAGCGCACAGATGGCCTGCTCGCTGCGGTCCACTCGGATCAGCGTCGTCTCGTTGCCCAGGTAGGCGCCCAGCCGATAGCGGTAGGCCTGCAGAGCGGACGTATCGCCAGCAAAGGCCTGCCGCTGCACCTGGAAGTCGCAGCAGAAGTTGGAGCCATGACAGAGCCGCTGCGAAACGTTCAAAAAGTCCGCCGCTAGCAGGACGCTGGTGAAGATGTCCACGTTGTAGTCGCGGTAGGTGGCCACCTTGGTGTAGCGAGGAGTCTCCAGCAGCGGCTGGAAGATGGGGTCTATCTGGGCGGGCAGCTGGTAGGGCGGCAGGCCTGGACGACGCTTGGGCACGTGGGCCTTGAGAAGCAGACGCACGGGCATCTCGTTGATAGTGGCGGTGAGGCGTCCGGAACGACCCGCATAGATGCCGGACCCGGTGGTGCGGCCGGAGGGATGGCTGGCATCGGCGGCCAACAGATTGACATCGTTGCCAAAGGCCCAGCCCTCCTGCAGCTGGACGGCGGTGAGGAATGGCAGCTCCGAAAACCAGTACGTGGGGTAGATAATGTCGGTGATGTTACGCTCGTGGACGAGCCGCATGGCCGGGTCGTAGAACAACATGTCGAAGCAGATAAAGTGGCCGAAGGTCACGCCAAAGTCCGTCTCGAAAATGGCCACATCCGGCTCCACCAGCACCGAGGTGCTGTAGTACTCTGCCCGCCACAGATGCGTCTTGCGGTAGCGCGATACAACACGCCCCCTCCTGTCCAGCACCACATTGGTGTTGAAGTGCCGCACTCCGGTGGCCGGACACGGATCTAGCGTTGCCGCTCCGGCTCCATTCGCGCACAGCTCCTTCTCCACGACATTGAGCACCACGTAGATGCCGCGGGAGCGGGCTGCGCAGGACAGTTCCACAAGAAAGACCTCGTAGTCCGTGGCATAGCAGGGCGTTACGTTCTGCGATCCATGCGGCACAAAGGTGGCCGTCTCCCGGTTGTTTAGTATGTGCTCGGGAAAGACAATGATGTCGAGATCCCGGGCATCCGCGGACTCGATGATCGTCCTGAATGCATTCGAGATAATGCTGGTCTGCTCTTTGGGTGTGCCCTCTGCAACACTGTGCTCCACAACGCCAGCGTAGTAGGTGGGATCATCGGGCAGCGACAGCTTTAAATCAAAGCTTGAAAATGGAACAGGAGCAGGAGCAGGGGGAGTCTTTGAGTCTTACCTGGTAGGTGCCTGCCACACAAACGGCTAATAGGATCAACAGATGCCGCAGCTTCACGATCATCCTCATCTTGGGTGAATTGCCAAAATGTTTCTGACAGTCCACAGCCTTCTTGGCTGGCCACGAAGACTACTTGGGGGCTGTCAAGTGCACGGCCGGCCAGAGACCTCGATAAGGTAAGGGTTCGTTAATGGCACCACAGATAATTGTTATACTCTTAAATTAGGGCAACAATTGCGTCTTTGACAGATTATATCTCCTGATATTGCGAATCCCAGCTATCTCCAAGCATCGTAAACCGAACGTTAGCCGCTGTTGATAACTTATACAAGGTTTATGCTCTCACTTTGGCGGAAATAAATACTACTAAATAATACTAATACCAAAGACTGCTTATAGGAGTGCAATAACATAACATAAAAACATAAAACAAATCCTTTCTTCAAATTAGCTCCAACATAAAACCCACCATTATTTGCTTTTTGTCCATTTTTTAATAACACCAATAGGGTATTTCTAAAAATAAACCACAAATAAAACAAAGCTTTTATTTCATTCAACATTTGAGTTCCTAACGCGCCACTCGATCGATAGCTTATCGCTTATCGAAAGACGCAGAGCTTAAAGCCCCCATCGCATTGAGCTTTTTTGGGTAATGTTCAGTCTTTGCCACGCTGGTCACTCTGTACGTACTTCAGCTGTTTTTTCTTGAAACAAAAACAAGAAAATCAAACAGATTTCGATAGTTATTGTTGGCGGCTATTTGGGCGCCCCTTTTCCCCTATCTATAAGCTATAACTTATTAGTTCAAATGTGTTCTGCCAGCAGTCGCGAACAGCAGCCATAGTCAGCAGCAACAGAAGCAGAATTGTGAAGGTCGCGCGCCAGTTCCAAGAACACTTTTGTTTGTGTGTGGCGCGAGAGTAAGTGGGAGCGCCTCAATTGTTATTAACCAGGTGGGTCTCCGTCTCCCACCATGAGTGCATGAGTGTCTTCATGCCTGTGTGCATGTTGTGTGTGTGTGTGTGTCGGAGAGCTTGTTTGCATGTTATAATATATTTACATACCCACCAACTTATATAATCAATCTTAAAGTTCCTACATTCAGAACTGAACGCACGAAACGTCGTCCAAAATCTGTCCCAAGCGAATAGCAACCGGACTAACTAGCATTTCCTACGGCATCAATACAGTGATAGGTAGGTACATAAGTGTTTCATTTAATCATCCAAAGCCTGAGGCTCCGCGAGAGCTCGTTAGCTTTATCGGCAACGTGACAATTATTGCCGCTCACCAAATCTGCCGACTAACGCTGAGAGCGCACTCGCTCCCCTTGAAGGCTACACCGTCTGGGGGTCTCCTCTCCGTCTCCCTATCTCTAGACTATCAGTTAAGTCGCTAGTGGAGACTGTTAATATACCTCTTAATCAATTGGCATAGGGGGAACAAGGTTCTTAGTTTTATCCATCGTTCTTGTCGATCATTTATGCCGATCTGCAAACAACTTTCAGACGGAGAGAGGCTTCAAAGCTGTCATCATAATACTCTCTGCAACAACGCAAATCTTTAGTATATCATAATGTGGGCAGGAGAATATAGCAGAGCAAAAGTCGGCAGCATAGGAAAAGGATAGGATCCCGACATAGTGAAACAAATGCTCCACAGACTGGGGAATTTATAGGTGTTCAGCATTGCTCGAAGTTTTTGAAATTAAAAGCTAAATGCATGATAGCACAGGAGTCTTTATACAAAATTTGGTTGCTCTAGCCCTTATAGTCTCTGAGATCTAGGCGCTCATCAGGATAAACAGACGGACAGACCGACATGGCTATATCGACTCGGCTGTTGGGGTCGGTAACACTTCCTTCTGGGTGTTATACACATACAATTTCACCACAAATCTAATATACCCCTATATGGAGTATTTCGACTATCGGGTATGATACAACAAAAATGTGCGTGTCTGCGTGCGCAGGCAATAATTTTGTTGTTCACTGCAAGATTGAGAGAGAGATATCTGCTTTTGTTAAATATCAACTAACAAACACACCACCGATCTCCCTTTGGCTATTGCAGAGATATGGCCTTCAACATGAAAGCCCTGCTGGGCATGCTCTTCGTGTTCATCGGATGCTGCAGCAATGTGGTCTTCCTGGAGCTGATTATCCAGATAGATCCGGGGGCAGGCAATCTGATCACGTTCTCACAGTTCCTGTTCATTGCGCTGGAGGGCCTGATATTCACATCGAAGTTCTTCACGGTGAAGCCGAAGATCGCTCTCAAGGACTATGTGATCCTAGTGCTGCTCTTCTTCGGGGCGAACGTGTGCAACAACTATGCCTTCAACTTCAACATACCGATGCCGCTGCACATGATCTTCCGCAGTGGTTCGCTGATGGCCAACATGATTATGGGCATCATACTGCTGAAGAAGCGCTACAACCTGCGGCAGTACAGCTCCGTGGCCATGATCACGGCGGGCATTGTGCTCTGCACTTTGGTGTCAAGCGGCGATGTGAAGGACAACACACACCATACGCTGAGGGTGGACACCTCATACTCGGACTTCTTCTGGTGGTCGGTGGGCATTGCCCTGCTGACGATCGCCCTGCTCGTGACCGCCTACATGGGCATCTACCAGGAGGTGATCTACAAGCGCTACGGCAAGCATCCCAGCGAGGCGCTCTTCTTCACCCACATGCTGCCGCTGCCCGGATTCCTCTTCATGGCCGGCAACATTGTGCAGCACCTGAACATAGCCGTCGCCTCGGAGGCGGTGGCTGTCCCCGTCCTGAGCGCACTGGGCCTCGACTGGAAGTTCCCGCTGATGCTCTTCTACCTGCTCTGCAATGTTGTGACGCAGTATGTCTGCATCAGCGCCGTCTACGTGCTGACCACCGAGTGTGCCTCACTCACCGTCACCCTGGTGGTGACGCTGCGCAAGTTTGTCTCCCTTCTGTTCTCCATTCTGTATTTCCGCAACCCATTCACGGCCAACCACTGGATCGGCACCATTCTGGTCTTCTTCGGAACCATACTGTTCGCCAATGTGATCAATCAGCTGAAGGATGCCTACCAGGCGAGATCAAAGCGTCGCTTCGACACCGCGCCCCAGCCAAAGAAGGTGGACTAAGCCACCAATCCACTGATCCCCCAATCAGTCTATACACTTGTACGCATTGGTTGCTGCTGCAGAGGCCATTACTAGATATTTTTTTAGTCCTAATGCTTTGAATGTACATAGAATTTACATATTTTAATATCTGAATACGCTTAGCTTATAGTTGCATCTTGATAAATTTGTATATTCCCGCCCCCCCTCGTTGTCACACAATCCCAGACAGAATGTGAATGCCGTTTTGAATAACTGAATATTTTAAAATAATAAAATTTTCTAAAAATATATTGCAACTCTTTTGAATATGAAGGATACTTATCGAGAGTACTTTCTGGAGGATCCTGGGATATTTAAATATGTACTACAAAAACAACATACATTACGCGCGCATGACGTTGATAAAGGGTTGTATATCTAAGCGTTCTTTATCCCAATTTCTACATATTTTCATTTCTGTTTATGTTTTCTCCCTGGTTAGTGGTTCCTTATCCGATCCTATCTGTACTCTTCCATCAGTTGGCTTGTAAATCGCACAATTCTCTTCAAAAAGCTTCTTCAATTCCATCTTGAAACTTACATATATGCATATATAATCTGTTCCCGTATTTCGTGCAGCTATATCTGCGGGGCGACACGTATAATAGTTGCTAGATTTTAATCAAATAACAAGTTGGTGAAACACAATGTTCGGGCTACTGTTTGAACAAGTGGCTAGATGGTGACGACGGGACTGAACGATTCGTGGGCGTGTGGTCTTGTCTGGCCTGTCTCTGGGTAGATAAAAGTACGCGAGTGCGTTAGGGAAACAAACGTTGGGTTTATTGCCACACATTCTTGTATATAAGTATGTATTTGTATATAGGTAATATGTATATGTATATTCAATGAGTTAATACTTATGAAAACTTGGGGGAAACGGCGTTGGTTGTTATCTCAGGCTCTTCTTCGCACACACTAAAATATCGTACATAACATTTGCTGGCTTTTCTCTAGTTTTTCGTATTTTTAAGTTCGTTTTTTTTTTTGTTTTTTTTTTTTAATTTAAATGCACAGTTAAGTACAGGAATCGAAGGACACCAAGAGCGCGAGAACAAACAAAAACAAAAAAAAGTAAATAAAGTTAAATGAAACTCTTAATGGATTTTGGATAATTTTGGACAGGCTCCATGCTGGAGTGGAGAAGTGGAGTAGTGGAGTGGATTGGAGAGGCAGCTTGGGTGCACGCCGCTTGGCTGGTGGCGTATCTGGATTTACTGCTCATCCTTGTCCTTGGCACCGTGCTTGAGTATGCGTGTGAACTCGAGGTAATCGAACAGCCCATTCTTGATCGGCGCCTCCCGATACATCTCGTCCACCTGAGGGAGAACCATAGATTAAAATGACACGATTATACAGAGAGGGGAGCAGGGCACATACATCTTCGTCTGTGAATCGATCGCCCATTGTGGTGAGCAGCTCGCGCAGCCTATCCTCGGGCAGAACACCCATGTTCTCCTCGTCGAAGCAGCCAAAGGCATTCTTGATCACATCCTCGGGATCGGTGCCCTGCAGCCGTTCACCGAACAGAGTGAGGAACATGGTGAAGTTGATCGGTCCGGGTGCCTCGTTCATCATCCCATCCAAGTAGTCATCGGTTGGGTTCTTGCCAAGCGAGGCAAGCATATCGTGCAGATCCTCCTTCTCCACGAAGCCATCGCGATTCTGGTCGATCATGTTGAAGGCCTCTTTGAATTCGGCGATCTGGGCTTGATCGAACATTGCAAAGACATTGGAGGTGGCGCGCTGGGCGCGCTTCTTGGTGGTGGCACGGCGACCGGCGGTTTTGCGTGATGACATCGTTGTTGGTGGAGTGTATCTCTCTCTGTGTGTGATGCGGTGATGTGTGGCGTGGACCTAACCGAGTCAGAGGAGATTCCATTAATGTGGAGTGAATATATTATGTGTGTGTGTGTGTGTGTTTGTGTGCGTGTTTTATTGCTATATATAGACATATTGCAGCCCGACAAATTCCGATGAAGCTGATTTTTCGTCGTCGTGCTCCCCCAAACTGTGTCAACACTCACTCAAACACACATACCCTGATAATATCATACCCTGAGTCACTCGCGCAAACGGCGAAAACTAGCAACGTCAACGTAAAAGAGCGAGATAGCAGCAGTGTGTATGTTCCCTTGTGTCCGTGTGTGAGTGTTTATCAATGCTGTTGAACTGCGGTTTTCAGAAAGAGAGCGAGAAACAAGCTTCGGGAGGCGAAGCTTTTGATACTCTTTCAAATCGATCGCTCAGTATGTGGGATAACTAATTTAAATGGTTTACTTGAAACGACAAGACTGCAAAAACATCAGAAAGTGGCATGTCGAAACTAATGACTTTTGATATGCTTCTTTCGATGCGTTACAAATATTCTGTCAACATAATAATACTGTTTTCCGCAAGGGTATTTTAAGCAACAACAAATATGGCTCAATGAAAACATTCTCAAGCACACACTCACACTTCCACACAGACTGCATCCACAGTTCAATTAAATGCCTAAAAAAGGCACAAAAACAGACAGCAGCTGAAGCCGTCGCCAAGATCTGCCTCTTGGGGGCTGACTTGTTGGCGTTTTTGGGGCCACTTGAAAATTTGTTCAAAATGGCAGAGAGCACCATCTGATCAGCAAAGCTGATTTATCAATTTCGATGTAAAAGCCCACACATACATATGCAAAGAGGCATGACAAATTATTGTTTTCTTTTGAGACACGGCCTCTGCCGACTCTGACTCATACACACGCCCTTTTCGGGGGGAGAGTAGCGCGTAGCACCCTTTGTGTAGCTGTCGTTTCGCGGTTTATTGCCTTTATTTTTGGTTAATACTCACAGCTGCTATCCTGTCTGGTTAATACTTTTCAGTTCTTTGTACAACTCGGTTTTGAGCTGCACTCTTTCGTTCTGCCTTTTTTGTTTGTTGTGGGCTTGGGGGCTTCAGAGGTGCGAACTGCTGCTTACCGTGGGGCTGTTTTGGTTCAATTTTCACCTTTCTTTTGCTGGCGATTTGATTTTTTCAAGCGGCGGCTCTTGCGTCTTTTTTTATGAAAACAAATTCTACACTTTACACGGTTACTACAGATTTGCTACATAACGGAAGGAAAAAGAGGGTGTGGACAATAGGCAAAAGGCCCAGAAAATGCCACGCATGCCAGGTGAAATCCACCCTACTTGCCCAATATACCTTGAAGAAAAAATCGGTGAGGTGAGGGTTTGTACGAATCTTGCAATTTTCCTTGGTTGTTTTCGCCGGTTGTCCATACCCCTTTTTATAGCCCATTCAAATTGCGACTCATTTTTTCGTCGCAGGGGAGAGCACTTATCGATCTTTTTATCGACTAAAGTGTGCGCCAAAGTGGAATTGTTTGAAAGTGAATGAGTGACAAGGATATGAATGCAATTTAAAACAAATTTAAAAAACCTTCGTGTGGATGTTTCTAAAGCCTTTGTTCTTAAATATGCTTTTAGAAATAAACTTTTCGACATCAAAATACCTGAAAGTATTTCACGTACATGAAGAAGACAAATGTATTAAGGATGTTAAATTTTATCGATGAACAAGGTCGATATTTTTGTGCGACTTGCGTGTTTTAGCCGATGTTTCCGTTAAAATACCAAACTCCAAGAGAAATACCAAAACATGCATTTTAAAGCGCGATTTTCGCGGGTATATTTTGAGGATGGAAATTAAGAGTTTTTCCTTTTCTTTTCTATTTCCCACATTTATGCACCTATTTATCGAATGAATAGGAATTTTTTCGGTCTGCCCCATATATGTTAATACTATCTGCAATGGCATTCGAATCCTGTTCCCGATGATTTTGGGAAAAAAAAACATCGATGTTCACATCGATGTTTTCCCACCTCTACACTGCACAATTTTCCCACCCCCCACCCACACAAGCACACTGCAAACTGGTCGAAGGTGTTTGGAAATGTTCGATATTTGTGTTAAAAAATAAAACCCAACGAAGAAAAACGATGTATTAAAGCGTTAATTGAACAGTGCTAAGGCCAGTGACTACATGTATTTCGGAAAGTACAGGATTCCCAGAAGTGCATAGGCCCCAGCGAAGGCCACCATACACACACTTTGTGCTCCCCAGCTCCACAAAAAGGAAACCAAAGATTTCCGTGCTACGAAGATGTGTCTATACTACAGAGTAACTGTATGAAGTGGTGTGCGTGAGTGCGTGAGAGCTCGTGTGTAGGTGTGTAGGCTGTGTGCATGTGTGTGTGCTGTGTGCGACCCAGCCAGGCTACTATGGCAGTGCGGGCATCTGCATGTGTGTGTGTGTAGCACACTGAAAGAATCAATAAAGGATGTGCTGTGGATTTCATTGCTGGCAGAGCGAAAAAGGACAAAACAACGACCGAGAAGTGGTAGTAGGGACAACAACGAAAAGTGCTCGATAATTGGCAAGAATCCCCGCCCCGTTTCAACTAAAATCCGCCCCCCCACCCCGTCGACCGGGAGTGGAATATACCAAAAAAAAATAAATAAAAGAAAACATTTTTTTCCTCCAATCAACACTTGTAACGGTAATACAAAAAACAAAAAAACAATTGTGAATGCCCGTAGGGGCTGTGGCGTAGTAGAAAAATAAAAAAAAATATCCTTACACTCTTTGAGAATACCGAGCATACAAATAGATAATAAACGAATTACACAAACACAAGTACGTACATCGCGGTATCGGAATCGGAATCGGATCTCGGGGTAAAATCAATTGGAAATTGGAAACTGAAAACTGAAATAGGAGGCCGCCTCCTGCACATCCCATCATCATCATGAAGTTCTGCCTGGTGATAACGATGCTGGTGTCCATTGCATGTAAGTTTAAGCAGAAATTCAAAATTCTAGAACTAGTAGTGCACCCCGCCCCACTTATCCGCCACACAACCCTGCCTTATACCGCTATCTATCTATAATCAACCGCCTTCCTTCGCCCCTCTATAGACTCTGTGGAGGTGCACTTTGAGGCACCAGATAGCGGATTCTTCCTGAAGCACGCACGCCAACCACCTGTGACGCCGGAAATAGCAAACATACAGCAGACATCGTCATCGCCGCCACTGAAGGCGCGCTCCTCGTACGATTCGGTGCTCTCGCTGGATCGCTTCACGGTGGTGGAGACCACACAGCCTGTGTCCATACGCGCCAGCTATGGCCCATTCTCCACCAAGCAGACAGTCCCGGCCCGCTACATTGTACCGGACACAATGGACAACAACAACCAGAACAACAACAACAACCAGGGAGGAGGAGACTACATGAGCGTAAGTACACCCGAACAGGGTGCAGTGTATCATCTTACTGATGAGAGAACTCCTCCAACGCTTGCAGAACTCCACCGCCACGCTGCTGGAGCTGCAGCAACCGAACATGCATCTGGATATCTCGGCGCATTTGGTCAGGGCGAGCGTATCGCAGGACTCGCCCGTGCTGCGCGTTCTCTTCCATGCTGGCGCCGATCCTGGTGGTCATCTGCAGCGCCAGAAGGTCTGCGTCCTGCTGCACGTGGCCATGGGCACGGAACAGCCGCTGAAGGGCCGCTGCATGCCCGAGGGCGAGGATGGGGTGTGTGTGGCCGAGGTGGTGGTGCCCCTTAGCTGGTGGCCAGCGATTCCGGCACCCCAGCGCAAGGACAACGCCCCAGCACTGCCGCCCAAGGTACCGCAACGCTATGCGCAGGTCTCGTACAGCGTCTTTGAGCCACCGCTGCGCAATCCGGAGCAGTGCGAGCCGAAAGTACAGATCCAGCCCCTTACCACATTCGCCCAGGTGCCGCTGATGCCCGCCAAGACGCCGTTCAAGGAGCTGCGGGCCGACGACTCGGTCACCTTCCTGCTGCCCCAGCATCCGCTCTATCCCATGTCCAAGCTCCATGTCCCCGTCTTTCTGCACCAGTATGTGGATCAGCGGGTGGCCGCCTTCACGGTGCGGGCGCGTGTCAAGGCTGGGCTAAGGATCATGGGAGCCACCGCCTCCACCGACCAGTGGAGCGTATCGATTGAGAAGGAGAACCCCAAACATACCACCGCACGGGTCACGGCCTTCCGGAAGGAGCAGGAATCCAGCATGGAGTCCGCCATGGCTGGGAATCTCACCAACGAATCGTTCGAGGTCTTCTCCTGGCTGCTGGAGGTGGCCGAGGACACCAACGACATTGTGGATGGCGGCAAGATCGTGTGGTCTGTGACCCATGTCTATGACACGCCCAAGGACAAGGACTCCAGCGAACTGATTGCCACAGACGACACAAAGAAGCGACTGATTGCCAAGCTGGAGATCAACAAGGATGACATCCAGGCAGTGCTGCCAATGGCCAAGATCTGGGAGGTGATGAACACGGCCGTTTTAACCGGACGGCAAGTGGCCCAGGCCATGAAGGTGTTCATTGTCTCCCAGGCAGGCAAGGTGGCCGATGTGACGCTCCAGAGTTCCTGCCATGCGGAGGATGAGAGTGTGATTAAGGTTCGAATCCAAAGGGGGCTAAAAGCCAGACTCTCTCATTGATTGCCGTATTTTCTGCTCCCTAGGTTTCCTCCTCCTGCAGCTCTGTCTATGTGGATGGCTCTGAGCAGCGTGGCTCCTCGAACGCCTCGGTTATTGTCAAATACGGCACATATGTGGGCATTGCAAAGTTCATTGTTTGGATGCCAGAATTCCCGCTGGAGGTCTACATATCAGACTATCGTTTGTCCCAGATCAAGGGCTGGAAAGTGACGGATGATAATCATTATCTGTAAGTGTTATACTAATCGTCCTGCTCCTCCTTCTGCTCCTGCTCCTGCTAATCCTTCTCTCTTCCTTTAAGACACAATAAACAATCGCGTCGCAGGAAGAAGCGCTCGTATGTGTGGGGCCAAAGCCAGGGGCAGCATGGCAGCAACTATTACAATAATCTTGGGGCAGACAAGACCATCTGTCGGGCACGCTACCAGCAGAGTCCCGTAGAGGTCTATGCCAAGTTCCTGGCCGTCGATCAGGTGAGTGCTGGCCGCCCACTGTATCCTTGCCGCCATCTTTATCCTCATCCTATTATCTGTCGAAACAGAACTCTGGACGCACCAGTTACTTCATCTCACGGCGAACGGGTCTGCGGGTCACGGATCTCGTGCAGCCACTGCTACGCGTAGCCGATCCCAAGATTGCCTCGCTCAAGGGTCGCATACTGCAGGGCAAGTCCATGGGTCGCACCGATGTGCAGGTTCTATCGCCCATCACGGGCCGCGTCATCGGCACCAAGGAGATCCGGGTTGGCAGCGACAAGGTGAATCTCTCGAAGCTGATTGTCCGCGTGATTTCGGGTCTGCAGCTAACGATCACGCCGGACAATACCATCGAGAATGGCTACCTGGCGGAGACCTCGGTCACCCACAAGCTGACAGCCCAGTATCAGGAGGGGCTGCTCGACATCGATCTGGAGTTCAATGACGGCTCCAAGACCCCCTTGAGGTATGCGACAGGGAACAAAACCCACAATTGAGGATTCAAACTCATGTTGTTTTCCCGTTTGCACAGGGACATTGCTGTGGAGGACTACTTCCTGCTGGTGGAGAGTCTCGATACTGAGGTGGTGGCCTTTGCCCCCATGCTGGCCTCCCACCATCCCCGTGTGATTGCTGTGGGCGAGGGCAATGGCAATCTGCTGCGTGTCACACTCCTGCTTTCCGAGGAGTGCCGCACGCGCAGGAGCACTCTGGGCACCGGCAAGCAGAACAAATCGAATGTGGCACCGCTGGCCAGTGCCTTGGCCTCCATTGAGGTGGACTTCAACAATGTGGATATTGTCAGCAAGCAGGAGGCCATACAAAACGATGGCACTGTGGGCCGTGGCGAGCGCAAGAATTTCCGTCAAACGGCAGGCGACCTAGCGGACATTATTGGTGCGTCTTAATGCCGGATTTCCTTTGAAAACAAATTAAAATTTCATTCATTCTTTTCCTCCGGCAGTTGGAATACCTTTGCGGGACTCTAGCCAGCAGTATGAGCCCACTGTCCAGGCCCGACAGCATCGCGGCAGCAGCAGCATTCAGGCCTCGCATAAGAATCACTTCAACGGCAAGGGCGGCACTGGCACCATGTCCTCCATGGAGCTGGGCATGTATGTCCTTCTGACGGCCTTCTGCTTCGCCATCATTGTGTTTGTGATCTCGTGCGTGGTGTATGCCTCGAAATTCCGACCGGCATTGATTGAATCCGGTCTGGATCCATTGTCGATGGGCAAGGGCAGTGGCGGAGGCGGTGGCGGGGGCATATCTGGCGGTGGTTTCCGCGATGTACGCCTCAAGGAGTCCACCACAAACGCCCATGACTGGGTCTGGCTGGGACGCTCCACCATTGATCGGCAGTCGGTGGTGGCAGAAACGAATACACACTTGAATGCACGCGGTATGATCTGTATCTGTGGAGTGCCTAGCTCCTTCAACTAATGATATTTGTCTCTGCAGATTCCCGCATGCGCATCACTAGCAATCCGATCATCAACTACGACAATGGCCGTCGCGTCAGCTCCTTTGATCAGCAGCCCAAGCTGCAAACGCATATTGTGCCGGCCTCCAATTTGAATAAACAGCATGCAGATCAGTGAGTGCTTGAACTCTTCAATTCTTTGAGTCAAGCACCCTAATCCTTTTCCTTTCCCTTTTTTTTTTTTAGCTATTTGGCCAATGAGCGTAAGGAGCTTCCTGGAGGAGCCCTGGACTATAAACCGCCAGTGCCGCCGCATAGGAATGTGGGGGCCAGAGCGTGTCTGCCGATCGTCCAGCCACCAGCAGCAGCAGCAGCAGCAGTAGCTCCGGCACCAGTTCCAGTGAAGGTAAGATGGACAGAGAATACCTGATTTGCGGGCATCGAATCGTAATATTTCATCGCGATTTCTGTTATCCCAGGAGGTGGCCAATAAACGGCATAGTCAGCTGTATAAACGAGAGCATTTGCAGAGCAGCAGCATCATTAACAATAATAATAATAACAACAACAGCAGTGGCAGCATCACTGGCCTTAGCAATGCCAGCGATAATAACAACACCAATAAACAGCAACAGCAACAGAAACTGCAGCCACTGGAACGTCCGCAACATCAGCGCAGTCATAGCCATAGCCATAGCCACAATTTTAGCCAGGAGCCAGCAGGTGCCATCATCAAGGCGGCACACAATAAAATCAAGCAACAGCAGCAGCAGCAGCACCACGAGGAACTGCACAACGCTGAGAAGCTAGTGGAGTACACAAATCCACATCAGAAGAATGCATTTCAATTCGATTCGCTGACACCAAAGAGAGTAACCAAAGCAGCAGCAGTAGCAGCAGCAGCGGCAGCAGCTGTGCAGAAAGCCAAGGGTAAACCATTTCAAAATTGGAAAGGAAAAGCAGACCCTTCCTTATGTTAAGTATTTCTTTTTTTTTATAGATAACCACAGCATGGTTAGCAGCACTGGGGATGCGGCCAATTCGAATGGCAGCGATGAGATAATGCGGCTACCATCGTCTGCCAGTGTCAGTGGCAGTGCCATCAGTCATGTGCCGGTGCCGGTGCCAACAACAAAATCATCGCGCGTTAAGCGTGCCACAGTCGTGGGAAATCCGATGTTCTCGGCCACCGTCGATGATACAGAGACACCCGGTGAGCGTCTGGGTCTGGATGATCTCGATATGGACTACGAACAGATCATGCATTACTTTGATAATTTAAAGGTGAGTACAAGGGGAAGGAAGCCTCTGGGGATGCTCCGTTCTGATGTACTATGATGGTCCCTAATTCGCAGGAATCAAATGCCTGAGTGCAAGAGATCATTGCTAAAATTCGCGAAATATTGTCAACGTTCCATCAGCAATATCAGAATGTGGCCACGCCCATGACAACGCCTACACGCAAACAGATGCAAATGCTCGATGAGCTGGTAGCATCAACAGCAACCACTACACCAACAACCAGCAAAACAATATCGCCATTGCCACAGGAGCAGAATGAGGAGATCGGTGCTGATGGTGCTGCTGCTGCTGCTGCAGCGGCGGCGGCCGCAGCAACCACTGCATTCGATGCCTATGACGGAGCGCTGAATATCGAGAGCAGGCAGTTCTAGGGACAAACAACACACAGAAACACACAAACGGCATCTGAACGCAATTCTAGCAATACCTTTTTCTTAATGGAGGAACCCCCCAGCCCAGGGCTATGTGGCATATCCAATGCTGAAATGGAAATCAATTCGGAAACGAAACTGAAGGAGGAATGAGGAAGGAGGGTAGCCAGCAGCAGCATGGGAAGCAATGGGAGGAGGAGTACGAGGAGCAGTGCAAGCAACAACAAAACATATTTATTGCTAGGCTAAGTTCATATTTAAAGCATATATATATATATATATACATATATACTATATGTTTGTATGTTATGTGGAGATACAAATCCAAAATGTATCTCGAGGAGCGCGTGCTTGACACAATCGGCGGAAAACACATAGACACACAAACACACACACACACACACACAGACGGACACATTTGGTATATGCACATAACTCATGGATGCAGCATACCCTGCCCCTCCCCCCTCCGTATATAAGTATATATACGATGTAGTTAAGGATCAGCCATCAAAAGCATAGCTTAATCCAAAACAAAACAAAAAAACAACAAAAAAACAAAACGCCATTTTTTCTCTCCGCTTCAGCATCTAGATAATTGCCATATCCCATCGCTGCTTTAGTTCTCACACATAAGTAACTCGATCTCTCGGTACCCCGATTGCATATCCTACAAATTGTAATACTTCTCGTCGAATCATCAAAAGAAAGTCTCTCTCTTTTGTGTGTGTGCCATAAGATAGAAAGGGAGAGAGTGAGAGAGATATAATAAGAGAGAGAGAGAGAGAAGTTTCCACAAAATGTGCCGGGCACCGCTCCCAAAAGTCGCTAGAACTTAAAAACTGAATAATATACATATATGTACACGATAAATATGAATATATATTTATGATTATATAAAGTGCGCGCTAACAAAACAAAAACACAAAACAAACAATTTAAAGTAAAAGCTACAATACAAAAACCGGACAAGCATTATCCGTGAAACGAAACGGAGCTATGAAAAGAAAAACCCATTGCTTTATCACCTAAAAATACCAATCATAAATCTTAAACTAAATCGAAAAAAAACCACACACACACTCACATAAACAAAAAATGGATATATAGACGCTTATGAGCTTTATTTGATCGATTCAATGCATTCAAGAATGAAAACGAACGAAGCGAAACGAAAAAACATATGGATGGGGAAATGTGTAACCAAATATTATATGATATTACTGAGCGATCCAAGCTTTATCTAACAAATTTACCAATATTTAGAGCATACGAGCAAATATTTATTATTATTATTATTATTGCCATTATTATTGATTACGATTACGATTATTGTATTTATTACCAAGTGCAAAATTCAAACAAGAAACTGAAAAGCTGAAAAACTGAGAGCCCTAAACCATATTTTGAATAGCAAAATTACACACACACACACAAACACACAATGCCTACGAGTATATATATTCATAATCGCGAATATATCTAGACATATATACTAAATATATATATTCATTCATGCGCTCTCTTTATACGTACGCATACGTGTATATCTTTGTATCTATGTGTAACTGCATCCTGCAACTGTATCTATTCGTTTATCCACGCCCCCCACACGCATATTGATGCATTCGGATATACGGATATACGTACACATATATCATAGCACCCGAAAAGCTGCTTCATTCCATTAGCAAATCATAGATCATAGACATAATCTATTCTTACATATCTAGTTTTATTTCTGTCTGTCTTTTGTCTTCTTTCATCTGTCATCTGCTGTTTAAGTCTGTTCAATTTCGTTGTAAGATCTGTTCACACAACTATATGTACCACAACTAATTCTATATATAGTATATGTTAGATATATATATATTTATTAAATGCATGTTCACAGTGTCACATCTTTAGTTTATAGTTTAGAGGCCATCTAAGTATTATGTTCTTGTGTTCCACACACCCTCTGTTGAACCACACACACACACACACACACACACATCATTGTTTCATAATCATATGTTGTAAATTGTTCCGTCCAAAAAAAAAAAAACAAAAAAACTAAGCTGAAATGAAATGATAAATGGGAAAACCAAAACCAAAAGCAAAACAGGTGTAAAACAAACAAAAGCGAAAAGTGTAACAATATGAAATTTAAGCAATTTATCTGATTTTTTGTAGCACACACACACACACAAAAAACACACCACACATTATTTATAACCAATTTGTAGACTTTTAGACAATTATTGCACTTAATGTACATAAAATATGGGGAATACACAGTGCGATTCGGCGGCAATAAGACACATTTCGGGCGGTGATCCAACATTGTAGGGCGAAAGAGAGTTCAAATTGAGATAATATCTTACCAAAAATATATCTCTATTCGAAAACTGATTAATCTGAAAGGTTCTACTGTTGAAGTCAACGAAGTTTGCCAGAAAACAAGGTCTAGTATTATTTTAGTAATTCGCCGTTTCTAAGCTGACTTCTAGCACCGAAACGCACTGTACACCCATAGTATTTATCCTCAGTTGCTCTCTATCAATCGAAAAGGACTGAAAAAGAACTCCCGACACACAATCGAAATTGATTTTGACTTGTAATATCATTAGCATATAGAAATTAGTTTCAATTGTTTGTCAATGTCCCTCCCATACTTGAATTGTATGGATGTATATGTATGGCTGGAACATCTCTAGTTCCTGCTCATAGTCCTAGTCCTAGTCCTGCTCTTACCACACCACACCCAGATAACCTGACACTCTCCCAGTCAAGCTGCACTACTGCCATCATTGGGCATTATATTGGGTAAACGTGAGAGATTTAGGCATATTGAAGCTTCCAGCATTTACCAGTGCCATATACACAGATATATATATATATATATATATATATACATATATATACAGATACAGATACACACATGTACAGTAAAGTCAATCAATGGGAACGCAATCGAACAGTTGTGGCATGCCCCGAGCTTAGCACAAGCCTCCAGTTACGAGTAGAACTGCTTGTTAGAAGAACCTCCCTCCAAAATGTAGTCTTAGTACACACACAACACACAAACATTTCTAGTAAAATTTCACAAAAGGAAAGCCATAAAGAGAGAGAGAGAGAGAGAGAGTAGGGATAGGATAGGATAGGAGATAGGAGAGGCTAGGAAACACAAACAAACAAACACACACTTCTTACGAGTACTATACATATATCTAGAAAAATGCTTGGCTTCGATTCGCTGTTTTCGCGAATCTGTTTATATCTGTAACCGTATCGTATCTATATGTTTGACGATTCCAATGCAAAGACTTAATATACCATGTTTTTTCTTTTTTTTTTTTGTATCTATATACAGCCTATACCTATCTATATACGAGAGTACATATATATAGTATATTATTATATTGTTTAGTAAGACACACCAGATGTTAGATGATGGATGGATGATGTTCTCTAGTCATTTTTTAAGGCGTTTAATTTAGGTTTGGTCACCTCACCACACACCCACACACAGTACACAACACACACTCACACACTGATAGTTTTATATATATAGTCAGAAACCAGCTTTTAACCACGTCCCTACGGCCCCTTATGCCTAAGCTGTATTGTATCTATTTTGTATGTATTATCCAAGTGCACACTGAAACATGAAACATTAGAAATATACTACAACTATGTGAAACAAAAGAGATTTCTGTTCATCTTTGTTTATTGTATTCTCTTCTTTTGTACTGTACTGTATTGTATCCCAATTAATCGTGGAAAATCATCACATTATATAGTTTATAATAATCTATTATATGGCATCCAGGCGCCGGCTAAGTGTAATGCAAAATAAACTTATAAAAAACAAAACAAAAACCAAACACAAGAAATGCAAAAATTAAATTAATTAAATAAATATCGAGCAAAAAAAAAACAACATTTACATATATATATATATATATATATATATAGAAAACCGAGGAAAAAGGAGAGAAAAATCACAAAAATTGTTTACGCTGCTTTTTGCAAAAAATGGGAAAAAATATATAATTAAAAAAATCTAGGCTACATACATATAGGATCTACTATATACATATATATTGTATATATATATATGGTATATGTGTGTGTACGAGAGATAAATTCGCTTCGAATTATACCAGAAACAATACGGAAAACATACGATTAAAGCAATTTGGAAATGGATAACAAGTTTAACAACAAATTAAGTACGTAATATATATATGTGTATACAATATAGTACATATATGTATATGATATTTTGCCATGTAAGTTCTATGAATGTCCCACCTGCCTGGCCAACCACAAAATCCCCAGAGACCCCGCTTCAATATAATGCCAACTCCCACGCCCACGCCCACGCCCACGTCCAACGCCCTCCCAAAGCTGATTTGCACCGCCCAAACCAAACCCCACTCTTTCCAAAGAGTGTTGATACACACATATAGTATAGTGTATCGATATACTTATCGTATATCGATCGATCCGCCGCATAATTGTTAACATTTCTATCGGTTATTAAAGTAGTTGTTGTGTATGTGTATGTATGTAAGTATGTAAATGTGTGCTTACCCCAGATAACGATAAATGATAAAACGATAAACGATAAAGATTAACGATAAATGGTACAGATTAACGATTACTCGATTCTTATTGTTGTTATTGGCAGCAGCGCATGTCTTTTAAGAGCTAGTGATATATGATTTCCTTTCCTTTACTCCTTTGAGCAAGCAAAAAGAAAACTCCACAGAAAAATATAAAAATATATATATATATAGAAAATGAACGAAAACGATTCATCAGATTGTATACCCTGCCCTCACACACACACACACACACACACACACACACACACACTCACACCACACCACACACAAAGAGTGATCTTCACAAAATGCTTATACAACTATATATAGTATATACACACCCATATATATATATATATATATATATACAGCATATAAAGATTATATATATATATATATACAAGATATATAAAACATAGCAATTGTAAACTTTGCGATTTGCAAATGGAAAAGCATCCCCCGCAAGAGCTGAAAACGGAGCTGAAAAACAAATCTTTGCTTGCTTTTCCGTTCCATCATCATTCCTCTTATCCTTGTCATCAGTTTGGCTAATGCCGATCCTTCCGATCGTTTGTACCTTATTTTATCCCCCATCAAATAAATGCCGAAACAGAAACAGAAACGGAAATCGGAAACGGATATGAAAACAAGAAATGAAATGAAACGCAGCGGAACCGAACTCAAATGAGATGAATATTGAAAAGCAAAATTAAAGTTGCCATGCAAAACACCTTAGTAGATGATTATTATTATGAGTACTATTATAATATTATTAAGCGATGGATGGAAATCATTTTGTTCGAATGACACGAAACGAAACGAAGGAAGGCAAAACAAATGCAAAAAGCAAATGCGAAAAATATTATAAATATTCAAAATGACAAAAAAAAAAAAAAAAAAACAGACAAAATTAATTTAAATAAAATAATTTATTAATAAACCACATATTATGAAATGACATAAAACTAAAGCGAATAACTTTTCAAATGGCGTTTTTTATACCCGACCCCATAAAGTACATATATATATTCTTGATCAGCATCAATAGCCGAGTCGATTGAGCCCTATCTGTCTGTCCGTCTGTCCGTCCGTCCGTCTGTCCGTCCCTATCAGCGCCTAGTGCTCAAAGACTATAAGAGCTAGGGCAACAACGTTTTATATCCGGACTTCTGTGATATGTCACAGCTACAAGTATATCGTATGATCGTATGATTATTATAGCCAGAATCAAGAAAACAATTTCATTCTTTCTCGCTCTGTCTCTCTCTAACACACAGGTTTCATGGTCGGTTTTGCCAATTGCAAAATATGAGTTCAAGGATCTCAGAACCTATAAGAGCCAGAGCAACCAAATTTGGTATCCACACCACTGTGATATCGGACCTTGACCGTTTTGTGTCAAAATTTCGCCCCACCCCCTTCCGCCCCCACAAAGGACGAAAATCTGGGGCATCCACAAATCTCAGAGATTATTAAGGCTAGAGTAACCAAATTTAGTATCCGCACTGCTTCTGTTAGATCTCACTATCAAACGTATATCTCAAACGTCTCTCTCGCACGCACTCTTTGTCGTGTCGTTCAATATTAGCGCCGTCTGCCGGACTTAGTATCGGGTATAAATGTAGAGTGGCGGTGTCCGCAGCAACTCACAACGTTCCCCCTCGTTTTAAATCAGATTAGGGATCTGATCTATAGGAAGTGCTGAGCCTCGTCAAGCACACTGTACATTCCAATAGGAGAAATTGGAGCAAGGGAATGGCTCGATAATATACAAGTACATACATATGTACATATGTATGTAAGTGTTAAGCGTCATGCGACAGCGCCCCTCGGTCGGTGGACTGCTTTTCTGCCTGGCTATTAGCTTTTTAAAACATCTGTATAATTTTCTATTCTTTCTATTCCCATGATTTTGTTCGTGTAAGCTTATAAGGGAATATCTTTCGGTAAAGTAGAACCGTTCTTGATAGAAAACCCTGCAAAAAGACCAAAGAATTAAACATGAACATAATAATGACAACATCTGAACATCTGACTGAATGAAACCCGTCCGTTTAGGTCTGTTCCATGGAATATGAATCTGCTTATCGATTGGTCGGATAATTTCCGCCAAATACCGTGAATAATTGCACTTAAAATCGAAGGGCGGCCAGCCGTAGGGACTGTTTGGGCTCCTTTTGCCGCCATCTGATCGCCATCGGAGATCTGGATGATGGTCACCATATTTATTTGATCACCGTTTGAAGCATTATATAATTTGGCACCATTTTATGGAGCGGGGGTGGAAGAGGGGGAGTCGCAGTGGCAGCAGTGTTCTTGAATTTTACGCAACAGTTGGCGCCGCAGTGTGTGATCTTGACGATGGCGTCAACCTGCAAATCGTTGGGCCAGATCCGATACGATCCAAACCGATCCGTAGTGAACCGTACCCAAAAGCGAACCCCAACGCATCGCATCGCATCGCATCGCACCGTACGCCCACTCCTCCCGCCAAGCCAGAGAGAGAGAGGATCAATAACAGACAATAATGTGTTCTGTCGTTCGTCTAATTGTAAGACCAACTTCCAATTTGAGAGACGACACATCCGATGTGATCGCATAACCCATCCACATGGCTGCGTGTGTGTGTGTGGGACTTTCATTTCGCTGATCGAAGCCCAAACCTAGAAGCCAAAGATGCGATGCGAGTCAAGATCCGGCGGCGGAACCATCGAAGCATATAAAAGCGCTTGGAAAGCGTTTCAACATTTCAGTTGCCTCCAAATAACCGTCTGTCGTTTGTCGTCTGTCGTCTGTTGCCTGTCGCTGTTGCCCGACTGCCCTGTCGCTATCGTAATCGTAATCGTAATTGTAATCGGAATCGTAGTCGGTCTGCAATATGTCTTTTGGGAACATCGGGAACACATCGGACTTGGAGTGCGAAAAGAATGAGTACGCACGGCCGCGTCCTACGGGCATCGTTACCAAAATGGCCGCCCACAAGCTCTCCTCGGAGCCGAAATGGGCCGACAAGCGGGAGGATGATTCCGACTCGGAGGTCTCATCGCCAGATAATTTTCTAACCAAAGGTGGATTTCCCGTTTTGGAACGATCTATTCTTTATTATCTATTATTATTTTTGTTTTCTGTTGTGTGTTGAGTGTCCTGCATGCGATGAACTGACTGTTCATCTGTTTAGTGACAATAACATAATCCCTAGCCATCCCATGTAACCCTAGCGCATGTAACCCGACTAACCCGACGATTGCAACTAAAACCCCATCGTACTTACAGGCGCCTTTCTACTGACACCCTCCTATGAACTATCCATGGAACGGGCTGCCCTCATCTGTGAGAAGATGAGCTTCAAGGGATGCTTCAGCCTGACGAAAACCGCTACAGGAATTCTATTTAAATTCTCACATCCAGATGACTACCAGGCGGTGTTCAAGAAGGGCTTCCACAAGGTCACCGGAGCGCGCTTCTATCGCAAGGTGAGCGCGCACCATCCAACCACCCACACACCCATCTCTCTCCATATGCATTCCCCCAAAGAACACCCCCAAACCCCTCCCATCCATCTCCATCAGACAAGTGAAAAATGCAAATTTTCCATTTCCAACATTTTTGCAGCAATCGTTTTCGCGCAGCGTGAGTATTGATGGGTTGGAGAATGGGAAATAATCTCGAATAATCGAATTATGAGTGTCGAAATTAGAGTCCCCATCTTTGCCTGAACAATCGATTAAGCAATAAGTAATGCTAAGCCTGAAGCCGAACCGTTTCCTTACCCCAATCTCTAGATTGCCATACCATGTCGGCCGCGCAAGACCTTCACACTCTATGTGCTGGATGTGCCCGAGGACCTGCCCGTTGAGGATGTCCGTCATGCCATGTACAAGTTCGATTCGGTTGTCGAGGTGGTGCGCCTGCACATCTACTCGAGCCCCTCCAGCAGCAGCAGCAGCAGCAGCAATGTCAACGCCAATGCCTCCTCCGCCGCGGCCACTGCCGCCGCCAGTGCCGAGAAGAGTGCGGAAGGTGAGCAGACCCTACGCAGAGCTGCTGCCCTCCGAAGTAATGTACTCTCCAAAATTGGTAACAAAATAACAAACTCGAAAACGCATTCGATCAAAATTCACCCCACTCCTCCATTCCATTCTATTCGATTCCCATACGAAATCCTTTCCCAATCACAATCTACCTTGCAGGCGGATCGAAGATCCTGGGCGGCTTGAGCGGTTCTGTTGTGGGCGATGCCATCGATAAGGCCGAGCGCCCAGAGCGCCGAGAGCTACCGCCGGCCGTCATACGCATCACTCTGGCCTCGATGGACGAATACAATGTCCTGCTGCAGAATGGGCTCAACTTCTACGATGCCACGTTCTTTCCCACTGAGGCCAATATCTCACTGAAGGGCGCCAGGATTGACTACAAACGGAGGTAGGTCTCGGTCTACGTATCCACCGATCCACCGATCCACCGCCTAGAAAGATCATTCATCTGTGTCTGTCTGTGTATATCTTTTTGTTTAAGAATGCTCGATGGCTCGATACCGGGGCGTGTGCGCGAACTGTTGCCCGTATTCGATGCGGCTGGCTTCTGCAAATTGCCTCCACCCACCAGCAAGCTAATTAAGCCCCCGAGGTCATGAATCGATACGAACCGAACCCAGCGATGCCAATACGATGCCCTCCCCCCAACCGATGCCACAACGACGACGATCACATGTTCCGGCTAGATAAGCAGATGTCCGGGCCCCACTCCCTTTGACGACATGGTTTCAGTTTTCATTTTCAGTTTTAACTTTTATATTTACCCCTTACCCTACTCTATATACCATATATACTATATACATACATATTGAAACTATAATATATATATAATATATAAATGATATTATACTTCATCTTCAACTGATGCCGATGCCCCATTGGATACATAATAATTCCCCTTTTGGCTACCATCTTCCATCTTGTTTCTATATCTATTCTCTCCTCCCTCTGTCTTTTATAAATTCTCTTCTTTTTTTTTTTGTTTTTTGCCTAGTTTTATTATTAAAGGCCCATATAAGGCATAGCGTCTAATTTGTTTGATTGTCTAACAAAGAAAAAAAAAACAACAACAACAAAAAAACCAAACACAGAAACAAAAATAATAAAAACGAAATAAGAAAAACACTTTTCAATGGCAAACGGAAATGAAATGAAACTCAATGATCCATCCGCTTATAAATATATACGCGTTAATATCTACTCGCACAATATTTGCATATATGTATGGTGGGTGGGTGCGTGGGTGCGTGGCTGCTGTTGTGGCTATCATAATTGTAACATCCTGTCGGAGACCAGGTAAATCATTATCATATTATAAAATTCCTGAAGATCTGACTATATAAATACACATATATATATATATATATATCATATAAATGCTTCTTTGATGACCATCTGGAACGAATACAAACCTTCAGAGAATCAGTTTAATTAAGAGATCAGATCGAAACATCGCAGTGGTTTGTTTTGGTAACTTCATGGAAGGGGAACCCACCTTTGAGTTCACTAGAAAAGATCTATAGTTTTTTCTTTATATTGTAATTGGTAGGTTATTGATTGAAGCCCAGTCTTAGGAAGCTTACATTACACTTCCACACTTTCGTAAACTAAAGTTCTGCATCCATTAGAGCAAGGTGCACTCATTAGTTTGGATGGTTTGTAGGAATCCTTCAAGCATTGGACAGCTGTTCTGCTTTTCGATTACTTGAACTGGTAATGCTGCATCTATGGGTCACTCCGAACCCTTAATGTTCCTTCAGTCTTCCAAAGTAGAGCATCGTGCCAGTCTCACAGAGACAATAGTCAAAGGAAGATACAGAGACCTGATTGATGATAGATCGGATAGGGTTTGGGGTACAGCCAGAAACGCTCAGGGGTGGGATGGAGGCCAATGCATCACATGGTTCAACATACAACCTATTCTTAAAGCAATCAATGCAATTCCATTGCCAGTTTTTAAATTGGTTTTACATGAACGAAAGTCTTGAATCGGCAGCTCAGATTCCCAAAGCAGGGGTACCCAAATCGTAAGATCTTGAATAAATTATTTGAAAAACTACTTTAATAATCGTATTAGAACGAGTGCCATCATTTAACAAAAGAATCAAAGTATTTATTGTATTTAATTTGCACTTTATTTACTTTTTAAGTTAATTCATTTAGTTTTGTTTTAGGTATACATACATATACATACATATATATATATATATATATATATAGTATAGTATATCTTGATTGATTTTCAACAACAGACAAATTTTGCACAAAGCTCAACACAAATAGAGACATACATAGATCGTAATATATATTCGTAAGCATATCAATTACCATACTGTCGAATGTCTTGTATATCGTATATAATAATAATTAATAATTGATTTAAAGCATATAATATAATAGATGTATAATATATACACATATATGCATATATATGTATATATATATATATATCGTATATAGTGTATATCTGTATAGTTTATAGTCTGTTTAGGAAATACTCATCGAACATTGAAACGAATTTGCATAAAATTCGTCAAACAAGTTTTTTTTTTTTTGTTTAGATTTTAAATAGACAAAACAGAAAAAAAAATATATATGGAATACAATAATAATAATAATAATAATAATAGTTATAGTTATAATAATAATATACATACATGTGTAGGAAAAAATTCAAATACAATCATAGTTTTAGCATATAATCAACGTTTTAACAAAGAATACAACAAATAGGACACTCATCAGGAGGCGCGCACACACTAACAGGTGACTAACAAGAGACGCGAGAGCACGGAAACGGGAACGGGAACGGATACTGGATACTAGATGCTGGATACGGACAAAAGTCACACACAAATAGGAGCGTAGGAGCGCAGTAGAAATGTACACGAGATATACACAAATACATATAGAACACGCATAGAATACATATATGTAGTTTTGTTTGTTTGTAGTTGTTTTCAATACACAGAGTGCACAATATTATCCTTCTCGACCAGCAGGCGGACCTTCATGCAACCATCGGACCCACACGAGAACAGTCGCCCAAAGGGATCGACAGTCACCTGGCTGACACCCTGGCCGGTATGCTTGAAGAAACCATTCTTGGCATGCTCATGGGGGAACGTATTGATCAGCATGAACTGATTCATGTCCCATATCTGAAACAGAAAGAATATTGCAATTATTGGCTATTGGGTATTGATTATGGAAAGCCTTTCTGTACCTTAATGTCACCCTCAATGGAGCCAGTGACAAAGAACTCCTCATGGGGATCCAAAGCAATGCACTTGATGGTGCTATCGTGCGCCTGAAAATACGAAACATTTGAATACCATTCCGGGAAAGGTTTCACGTCTCTCCAAGGATGCGATCCCATACCTGATAACGATGTCGCAGCGTGCGCTGTCTCACATCGAAGACGCATACATCGCCGCGTTTGCCGCACGAGATGAGCACTTGATGCTGTGGCGCAAACACCAGACAGGACGAGCCCTGATCGTGACAGGTGAATGCTGTGCAAAATAGTGCAAGTATAACGATATGCGGTTTATTTAATCCTCGATGGTTATTTACCTGACACACACGACTTTTTGTGGGGCAGCAAAGTGTCCCAAATGTTAATGTTTTTGTTCTCGGAACTTTGACCAGCTAAAAGAGAAATGCATTAATATAGAAGAGCGCTTCTGGAAGGCAGTCAGAAATCAGGCAACCCACCGCTGGCCAGTAGACTGCAAGAGCCAAGGAATACAAAATCGGAAAGCGTCTTATTGTGGCACTGATAGCTCTGTGGAGAGAGAGGAAATTGCATCATAATGGTGTCATGAATGGGTTGGGATTCTACTCACAATAAACGAACGATTATTCTGTGAGGCGATGCCCGCCTGCCAGAGGCTCAGGTTGCCATCACCATCGCCGATGCCGAACTTATTGCCCTGCTCGGAGAAGCGACAGCGGGTCACTTTCGCAAAGGTGCCAGAGGTACGTGGCGAGCAAACGGGCTGCTGGTGGCCCCACTCCCAGATCTGCACTGAACCATCCTGTCCGCCGGTCAGATAGAGGGGCATCAATGGATGAGCACTCATACGCTTAACATTGTCCACCTTGTGGCGCTGCACCTGCAACAAAAGTGTCCGATTATGGCCAGTTCCAGTGCCAGCTCGTGCTGTGCTTCCACTCCACTCACCATGGACGTGCCACGTCCCGACTGCGAGGCGCTTTGTGTACTGCTATTGCTTTCATTTGGATTACTGTTGCTTCCAAATTGATTCCTGCAGAGAGCAGGGTAAAGTAAAATGGTAAAATGGGAGCCCCCAAAGGCCAGTGGGGAGTACGTACTGCTCTTGCGATTGAATGATGAGGAAGGCGGAACTATTGGTGTCCGCATCCTTGGACAGATTCATCATATCGTAGTCGCACTCATCCTCGTACCAATTGGGCGACTCCAGCAGCAGGGAGATGTCGAACTCCTGGATCTCGCGCGGATTGGAGAACGCGATCATAGAGGAGCTATTGTTCTTCAAGCAGAAGGACAATATCGATTCGTGATCCTTGTGTATGATGCGTATGTGGTCGGTATTCTCGCTGGTTGAATGCGATTGACCTGCAGGATAGACACGAAGGATGTAGGAGTTATAGCACATGGTTGGGGGGGGGCATGAGACACACACCTTCATCCGTCTCGTTGTCGGGCTGGGAGCCGCGCGTGTGGCCATGATGATGATGCCCCTCCATGTTCTTGCCAAAGATGCTCTTGATGAAAACCTCCTGGGCGGGCTCCTGGCGCACCAGGAAATTCCACAGTCGCCGTATGGGTCCCGCCGAGGAACCGGACACAAACGGTGTGTTGTCCTTGTTCAGCAGCGATCGATACTTGTGGATGGCCAGCCCATTGATGCCGCTCTCCGCATAACAGCCAGGTATATACTGCCGTGTTGGGGGTCCCCGGGCGATCAGGTCGCTCAAGGCGAACTCCTGCCAGCGATTGAGAGTGCGCAGCACCTCGTGCGACAGGGGACTGATCACGGGCAGATCTACGAACAGATAGTGGATTAGTGATCGGTGCTCTGAGTGGCTGCTCCACCATGTGGATGGATGGTGGTACAACTACCCTGCAGCTCGATTCCTGCCACCTTCACCAGTTCCTGGATCTTGTGGGTGGTGATCTTGATGAGGGCCAAACGGAGTATGCTCCACGAGTACGATGTGGGATTGGTGTGCTCCGTATTGTCTTTGGCTTTCAGTTGGGTCCGACTCACATTCACATCGTCGTCGTCCTCCTCTTCCTCCTCGTTCTCCGACTCGTGCGAGTCATCTGTGTCGTAATCATCGCACTCTGTAAGAGGATTCCCCGCCCCCCAATTTAATGATGGAGTTCCTGGCGTCGCGCGAGCTACTTACCCGTTGTACCTGGCGGCGGTTTGGACAGGAAATAGGAGAGCATCGATGTCTCTGGTGGCATGAACTGCTCCCGGTATGTGGGCTTGTCCTCCTTCATGTTGTTCGAGGTGCTGCTCTGGCTAAAGCTCCCCAGGATCTTCATGTTCAGCTTCATGCGCTGCTTCGTGATGGAGGTCACGGTGTTCCACACGCTGTTCTCATCGGCTGTCGGATCATCCGAAGTGGGGCCGGCTGCTCCTGCTGCCGCTGCCGCTGCCGCTGGCAGGCTCTGGGCCTGACCCGAGGCCGGCTTGATCAGCAGCTTCTTCATGCCGCCGCCAAAGAGCGTCGACCAGGTGTCATTGTTGAAGCTCTGGCCGCTCAAACGGTACAGCAGCCGACTGTCGCAGGTGCACAGCGAGTAGATGAACAGCGCCATGTATGTGGAGACAAAGGACTCCAGCAGCAGGACATTCAGCTTGGGCACATCCTCATCCTTCTCGCGGGCAAGCAACGCCCGGAGATTGGTGACACCCGGCCACTTGGAGGGCGTCGTACAGATGCCCGCCGGCTCGTCCGTCGAGTACTTGCGCCTCCGTCCGTACGCATTCCGGCTGCCCACCAGATACGAGCACTCGAACGAGGAGTTGATCTTCGCAATGTTCTCCATGCCTGGACTGGGGTAGCCGTTGAAGGCCGAATTGTTGACCACAAAGCTCTCCGAGTCGCAGAGCGACTGGTAGATGCACGAGGAGAGGGCCACCGCGAGGTCGCGCAGCACGAAGATCTCGCTGAGGGCGCTCGTCTCGATGCCGGGGAACGGCACCACCTTGATGATGGTCTGCAGCATGTCCACCGTCTGCGACTGCAGGTATTTAATGGGATCGGCAATCACCGTCTTGTTGCCTGCCACGCAGGCGCTCAGCAGCGGCAGGGTGGTGGGGAATGGCAGCGGACTGAGCAGCTGCTGTTGGGTCTTCTCCTGCTGCAGCTCCTGCAGCAGCAGCACCAGCTCCATCCGCACAGAGGCGAGGCCCCCGCCGCTGGCTCCGTGGAGCGAGCAGTAGCTGAGAAGGGTACGCAGCAGCGTCTCGTTGGCCTTGAGCCAGCGCTTGCGCTTGGCCGCCCGCAGGACCTTGGCCTCGAAGTCCTGCTTGTCCTGCATGAGGATTTCGTGGAGCGTGGGCCGCTCCGTGCTCGGACAGATGCTGGCATTCATTTCCTTGTCATCCTTGGCATCCGCATCGCCGCCACTGCCGTCGCTCGCCTGCTGCTGCTCGGAGCTGCAGTAGTTGCACAGCTGCTTGAGGGCCTCCACCTCCCGCTCCAGCCACATGTACAGCTGGTAGCGCAGCTGGCCGCCATCCACCTCGAAGCCGGTGGCCAGGGTCGAGAGCTCCTCCATGAGGATCTTCAGGCAGGCCACGAACTTTAGCTGCTGCGCCATGATGTCCATTTTGTGGCCATCGCCCGTGGATCGTCCCACAGCAGCAGCAGCAGCAGCAACAGCATCTTCCGCTCCCATGGGGGGCTGTGGTGTGGCCATCTCGGGATCGTCATCATCTATGGGATCGGCATCGTCGTCATCCCATTTGATCTCGAACTTGGCCTCTGCTTCGTTTCCTGCCGCAGGTGCACCCCAATCGAAGGCATCCGCCGTGGCTGTGGCTGTGGCCGCTCCCCACTGATCCATGATCCCCGAATTGATGAGCTCCTCTTTGTTGATCTGCTGGCTCGTAGCCGCCGCCTGGCTGCCGGCCATGCTGCTGCCCGATGAGGATGGATCCTCGCTGATCTTCAGCGGCAGTTTGTTGAGCACCTCGAGGGCCAGGGCCGGGCAGCCGCTCTTGAAATGCCCGTGGGCGGTGGTGAAGTACAGTTGCCGTTCAATGGGCGTGATGGAGTCCTCCAGCTGCAGCTGTTTGTCGCAGGCGGCTCCGCCCGAGCCCGCTCCCGCGCCGGCTGTCTCGTAGTTGAAGCCCGACAGCACGACATGGGCGATGCGTTTCTCCTGCGCGGACAGCGCAATGTTCTGCCGTATCAGCAGCGGATGCGTGCGCAGATAGATGTAGAAGTTGAAGACATTCGGGTTGGTGGCCTGCGGCTCGGGCCGGAGGAGATCCTCCTCCCGGTAGCTGCTGTGCAGACTTCCCACGCCGCCCGTCAAGAGCAGGGTGTTGAGGCTCTCCTGGTACTTCTTCAGGGTCCAGTAGGTCATCGAGCGCAGGAACGGGTCCGGATGGGCGCGCGGTATGTCGCAACGTCCCGTCTCCGGGTCGGTGCCCAGGATGTGCTCGTGCAGCAGCTTGTGGTAGTAACAGCCCTCGGCATCGCCCTCGTACAGTCGGGCGATGATGAGCGCCAGCTGAAAGTCCTCCAGCTTGTTCATGCACACCTCGATGGCGTCGTTGAGGGAGTTGGCCAGCAGGAAGAAGGCCACCGCATGCTCGAACCGCTGCTTCCCCAGCAGCACAAAGGCATTCTTCAGGGCGGCCTTGCGCCAGCGATCCTCGGCGAAATTGTTGCCAAAGAAGGCGGTCATCTTCTCGTCCCGCATCGACCGGAAGAGGCCCCACACCAGGGACTTCTTCTTCATGGCCAGGTAGTAGATGGCCGCATCCAGGGGGTCCTGCTTCTGCTGGTAGGCGCACTTGGCCAGCCGCTCCACGCAACGCCGCAGAGTGTTGATGTTCTTCAGCCAATAGCCCATGCCCAGGTCCCGCAGCGTGGCCCAGCGCAGGTCGCCCTTCGTGTAGCTGGGTATCAGGTTGAGCAGCTCCTCCTCGCTCTCCGAGTGGTAGGCCCACACAATGTTCGAGGTGCCCACGCCCTGGCGCTGGAACTGGGCCCGCTGCTGCAGCGGCAGGCAGCGCAGCAGATACGTAAAGTGTTTCATGGCCAAAAGGAAACGCAGACCGCAATCGTCTAGCGATTCCGTGGCTGTGGCGCCCTCCTTGGGCACGTTTGCGGTGTTCTTGCCCATGTCGGCGGCAAACTTGTCCGAGAAGTCCGTGTTGCAGGTGGCCACCGTATCGGCGAGGGCCAGCAGATGCATCTGGTCCAGCGACGAGAGCCCCGGCAGATGTGTGTGCGTGAGCAGGCGCGACAGAAGCTGCCCCTGGCGCGGCCCAAAGTGCGAGATGGACTGCTTCTCGGGCAGCGAGAGCCGTCGCTCGTGCCGCTTGCCCTGCTCCCCCTCCGACAGCAGCTCGTCGAGATTGTCCTCCGAGTTGTGCATGTCGAAGAGCTCATCGTAGTCCTTGTCGTTCTCCGCGTTGCTGGCGCCCCCCTGGCCGCCGGGCGTCTCCCTGTCCGCGTTCAGCAGCACCCACAAGGGCAGCGGCGGAATCGAGTTGATCTCCGCATAGTCGAGCATCAGTTCCTCGGGGATCTGGGTGGTGCTGCCCCGATGCTCCGCCTGAATGTTGTTGTTGTCCGCCGCATTGTAGCTGATGCTGAGGGTGCGAGAGCGGGACCAGCTGCGCTGTCGGGCATACCCGTCCTCGTCCTGGGTGGCGCCGTGCTGGTCGCCACTCGAGCCGCCGCTCATGCAGCGCACCAAATGGGCCAGTATGGCCTTGACCCAGCGTATCTTGCCGCAGTTCAGGAGCTCCATCAGCTGCTTGGGATGGTACTGCGGCAGCACCGGGCAGGCGATCCGCGAGGCCTGGAACAGGCCAAAGTCCGTCAGGTAGTCATCGCTGCCACTGTCCCGATCGTTGGGGGCACTGCCCACGGTTGTGGCCACGGCGCCGCCTCCGTTCATATTGGCCATGCTGGTGTTACCCAGACGCCGCTTCTTGTCGTGCGACAGCAGCTGCAGATTGGCGGTGCTCACTTTGCTGATCAGCGGCATGGAGGCCACGTTCTTGAGCCTCAGCTGCGTCGATTCGTTGGCCAGACTTCGCAGGTCCTCGTCGCGCAGGTTGCGCGTGTCGGGCACGTCCTCGCTGCCGCCGTTCGCACCACCCACCATGTGGGAGGTGTAGTGCGGCTTCCACTGCGAGTACACATGCATTTCCGAGTCCATGGCCACCACCAGAATGCCGTCGCGCACCCACGATATCTGCATGGGCAGCGGCGGCAGTCCATCCGCCGTTTGTAGATCGATCTGTCGCAGCTTCATCCATCGGATCTCATCCACGAAATTGGGCTGTGCCAGAGAGGAGGCCTTCCGCAGGATGGGGCGGTTCACGGAGCGCGACTCCTTCATGGCCTTGATGTTCGCCTGAGCAATGTCCGAGCTGACGGGCGTGTACAGCAGGATCTTGCTGCCGACGGCCACTGTCAGGATGTGCGAGCCATCCTCCTTGGACACCCAATCGAGCTGCACCAGATGCTTCTGTGTGAGCGGACAGGTGTTGCCGTTCTCGGCGATGCTCTTCCTCAACGATTGCAGCGTACTGAAGCTGGGCACGGTCAGGAGCCCCGAGGCGGCCACCGAGGGCTGGCGATTCACGCTGACGGCCAGCTCTGGTGTGGTCTCGCCACTCCTCGGCGATCGACTGTCGTCGTGGGCCTGGAACGTGTGCAGCACCTGGTTGAGGCGCTGCTTCTTGGCCAGCAGTCGGCTGTCGTGCAGGTAGCTCAAGTCGATGCCGTGGCCAATGTTGATCCTCGGCAGGTGGACGTTCTTCAGGTGTATGGTGTCCTCCAGCACCCATTCGCTGCCGCCCGAGCTCTCGCACTCGTAGATGGCCACGCAGAGGTTCACGTACCGCGAATCGGGGTCCCCCTTGTTGGGTCGCGTGAAGCTCTTGCCGTACTTGTAGGCGCACGCAATGCGCCCGCTGTAGGCGGCACTGATGTTCAGCGGCTGGCCCGGTATCTCAATCGCCGACTGCTGGATGCGGCTAAACATTTTCCACTCGGACCAGTGATAGGCATCGCCATTCCCATTCCCATTGCCAGTTTCCTCTGCGGAGGGATTCTCGATGGGTTCGCACTTCCAAAAACGCGACACCGAGTCCGAGCAGGCCGTCACAATGATGTAGGGGGCAAAGCAGGCCGGATAAATGCTGGAGCTGCTCAAGTGGCCCGCTGCCGGGGAGGCATGTATCACATCCACGCCCTCGGGTAGCGGCAGCTCCTGAGTGCACACCTTTTTCGTGGTTATTGAGATGTGCGGCGCCTCCACATGCGAGCCAAAGTGCTCGGCACCCGTGAGGGTCTCTGCCCCCTGGGACATCCGTCGGGGATTCGGGTTCGCATTCGGATTGGGATTGTCCTCGGGCTCTTCCTGGGTGAGGTTGCTGTCGGGCACATACATGGCCGTCTCGGAGAGGAAGGAGTTCTGCTGCTTGGAGCTGATGACGATCCGCCACATGTGTATGGTGCTGCCCCGCAGCGTCTTCTCGATGTTTACAATGTAGAAGGGCTCTTCGAAGTCGACATTGCGCTGCAGATCCACAATGGCGTCCATATCCGACTCGAGGAAGGGATTGTAGCGCGGCTCGTCCACATCCTGGGCGTCCACTGACGCGGTGGTGCGCTGGCCCCCGGTTATCAGCTGGGCCTGAAACACATGCAGAAACTGTGTGTTCTGCCAGTCGTGTTTGGCATCCGAGATGGCGTCCAGCTGGAGGATGCACCCCGGACGCGCCGTCGACTGCTGGGAGACGACCTTCAGCTTGTCGTGCAGCGCCGATCGTTGGGCCTTCATTGTGGAGGAGGCATTTGAGATCATCGACGAGAGCGAGTGCGACTTGTGCAGCGTGTTGAGGTTCTCCGAACAGGAGATCTCCGCCAGCAGGGTCCGGGCATCAATCACCGCCTGATACACGCGCAGATTCTCCCCATCGCTGGCCACAAAGCAGGCGCTGGGGGAATTGCTGTAGCTACCGAGGGTGGTGCTCGGCAGGAGCGTGGGTATCCAGGCCACATTGCTGAAGGCCGATATCTCGGGGGAGTTGATGCGCGCCAGCTCGCTGACGCCGCCCGAATGGCACAGTGGACCCACCGAGTCCACGCGCCACAGTATCAACTCCGAACAGAAGCCAGTGGGTGTAAAGACATCCTTGTCGTTGCCGTTGCCGTTCCCGTTCCCATTCGATGCGGCACCAGCAGATCCTCCTGGACTGGCAACGCCGCCTGTACCGGATCCCATGGTGAAGCCACCGCCACCTCCCCCACTCAGGGGCTGCTCAAACGGCGACATCGGGGACTTGGCCTCCGAGTCGGGCAGATTGTGATGCGATGTGGAGACGAGCAACGGCAGCACCGGGTGACAGGTGATGTCATTGACCCGGAAACGGTGCCCGGAGGCACGGCTCACATGGCCGATGCTTAATACTTGGGTGAATTTCGTTTTGAAGGCGAACGTCAGCTGCCAAAGGTTCAGGGTGCCGTTCGAGTGCTTCGTGACCATCGAAACGGAAGGGGAGACGTTCAGGGGCAGGCCACTGGTCACCCCGTTGCCACTGGCTCCCGCCGAGTCCTGGGAGCTGCTGGCAACGCCTCCGCTGGCCGCTGCACTGTCGTCCGTCTCCTGATCCTGTTCCCCATCCTCGTTGTTGTCCTCCTGCTCCTCCTCGTGCTTCTCGAACGCATGCTGGTCGCTCTTCAGCGACGAATCATCCGCCTGGCCGTTCTTGTGGAATTCGTCCTTGCTCCTCACATTGTTGGCGATGTCCCTAAAGGCCAGCGGATGGCTGCCCGTGTTGAACAGGCTCACCGTGGTGGACATGGACATGGCATCGCCCAGCGGAAAGGCCGACGGAATGCGCGTCGAGAAGGACACCTGCGCCTGCCGAAACGACCCCGGATAGTAGTCATCCAGCCACTCGATCACCCAGATCAGGTAGCTCCCATCCACGGGATGGATGGCAAACAGCAGATCGGGACTCTGGTGCCAGTCCCTCAGCAGGCACTCGATCTTGTTGTCCAGCGAATCCACCAGCTGTGTGATCGGATGCTGCTGGTGCTGATGCTGCTCGTTGTTCAGCGAGTTCTGGGACGTTGTGTTGGACATGGAGTTCAGATGGAGACCCGCTCCAGTCCCGGCCGTATGCTGCGAATACTTGCTGTACTCCTCGCCGCTGTCGTCCACCGACACGGACTTGGAGGAGCGCAGATACTTCTTGTGCGCATGCGTGCCGTGCGTGCCGCCGGGTGCATCGTCCGGCAGGTCCACTCCGCCGCCTCCAGAGTGACCGTGATGATGGCCATGTCCGTAATGGCCGTGATGGCCATTCTCCTCGTCGATCACCTTCTTGGTCAGCTCCTGGAGTATTGCCTCTGCCTGGAGTGTGAAATGCATCTCCTTGTTGTTCAGCCAGTGCAGGATGAAGACGTTCTGGTTGGCCGGGTCCGATGTCTGCATCGATGGCACCAGCGGTATGTCCGTCTCTGCGTTGATGGAGGCCGCCAGATGGAAGTGCATGCCGGGCGTAACGCCCGAGCCATGAAAGCCATACGAGTGGAAGTCGTGAACGCTGCACGACGACGGCAGCGACGGTATGGGCCCCAGATAATTGCTGAAGCTAGCCGGCGACGAGCCCATGGCCCCGCCCATTGCTCCAGCGCCCATGTGGGCCGGCGGCAGGATGCCACCAGGCCCTCCCGGGGCGGCGTGTGCCCCCGCCTTCATGTGGCGCCGTATGTGAAAGCAGGTCTTCATGTGCTTCAGTCGCTGCATAAACCGATGCTTGTGCCGGTGCGTCCGGAACTTGGGATTCTGCGAATTCTGCGGATCGAACTGGGTCATATTGACCAGCCCGTCGTCGGGGAGCACCGTCTCGATCCAGATGCGGCAGATGTTGTCCAGGCAGGAGGTCACCAGCATGTTGGCCACCGATCCCTTGGGCATGTACTTGCTCGTCTTGCGCCACACAATGTTCGAGACGGCCCGCGGATGGGCAATGTACACGTACGTGAAGTTAAGTTCTCCAATGGCGGCGCTCACGCCACCCGATCCTCCTCCTGCGCCCGCTCCTCCTCCGCTGGCGTTGCTGCTCAGGTCATCCGTGTGCCGGGTGGTGCCTTTGGCGGGGAAGAGCACCTGCTTGTTCTCGTACCAGATCTTCACCAGACGATCGTTGCGGCCGCAGGTGGCGAACAGTGTACCATCGGGACTAAATGCCATATGGTAAATGGGTATGGCCGTCTGGCAGGACCAGATGTTCTCCCACGTGGACACATCCTCGGCCTGGTTCGATTGCTTCACCTCTTTGCTCTCGCCAATCTCGAATTTTACACCTACGAAAATTGAAGGCATTTCGATTCGATTCGATTAGTCTTGCTTTGCTTTGCTATTCGCTCGACCTACCCGTATGCTCCTCCTCCTGCTGGTGTGTGGGCGATTTGCTCTTCCAGAGCTGTATGTTGGTGCCGCCGGTGAGTAGGCGTGTGCCCTCCAGATTCCACGAGAGGGTCACCACACTCGAGTGGCTGGTAAAGGAGCCCGTTTGCACCCATCTATAGGATATGCCCGTGGATGAAAGATAACCAAAAAAAAACTGTTTCAAGGCGGGGTACTTTCTATTTTCGAGTTAATAATATTCAAAGGATAGGTATCCCCTGAAAGTCGAGCTTCCTTGCTCCCAAAAGGCCCCTCGCGCGGTGGACTAGAGGATTATTTTGTGACCCTTTTTAAAGGGATTCTGATTCGGATACTATGCCAGACTGAGTCTACTCTCGCCTTCAATCGTACACAGTCTTCAATTGTCCTTCCATTGACTTCGTCTTGATCTCTGGATCATCTATGTCTCTATTCTAAGGCTTATAATTTCCCGATTTAGATATGAGGCTATAATACATTTAAATGCATTGAAACCTGCCTTTTTTCCCCCATTTATGTCTGAATTTGTTTGTTACGAACGTGTCTGTTCGCCTTTGGGTAACTTCTCGTCTTTAATCGAACGAGTGGCTCTCGTAGCAAAGGCGTATTATCTACTGAAACATTCTAAAAGGCACTCATCAATATTTTATATCGGTTTGATTATGGAGAAATTCAAACAGCAAATACAGCTTTCGTTCCTGCATTCTATTCCGTTTTTATTTATAACGAATGTATCTGTTCACTTAGGGGACATTTTCACGGAGGCTTTCAACGAATTTGCATTCCATTTTTCCACTCGTTACAGTTTACAATTTATAGAATCTCACCTGTAGTCTAGGAAATGGGTATTATGCTTGCTGGACTCAATCACCGGCGTGGGCTCAAAAATGCATATCTTATTCTCGTAGGCAGCCGCTATTTTGCCGGTATCGGTGCTGCAGTCGAGGGCGGATATCTTCACATAGCCATGACTGGCGCCCGGTATGATCTGGACACGCTCGAAGGTGCTTGCGAGGATGACTACATTGCAGCCGGCGGCGTAGGCCTGCAAAAAAAGAAAAACCACACACATGGAAAAGGAAAGGAAAACAAAAGATCGGTTATATAGTACATATATTTCGTAGTAGCTCGTTATCTTTAAATTTCTATATCATTGTGTGTGGGATGTGATAACCGACCACTGCATAAGGGGCGGGCTTATCATCGTCATACGGTTGGGTTTTGGTTGACAAGAGACCAGCCACCACAAGGGTTACCGGGGGGTTTACCTGGTACTAGGTTATAGCTACTCCATAGAAATAGTTTGTGTGTGTGTGTGTGTGTGTGGTGTTTGATTTATTTGCCAAGCTGTCGCTGATATGCTCATTATCGTTTAAAAAACGGAATTCCAACAAATCGGCAAGAGAGCTCTTAAGTCGGAGTTTTCCCCCAAAACTCCTGATTCTATAATTTCAGTAAACCCTCTCTCTCTGTCGCGCTCTCTTCAATCAGAATGATTCGTATTTATGATGATTCAGTAGCTATTTTATAGTTCCACTGTTCTGGATCTTCATCAGAAATGGTACCTTAAAATTTTGCCCTACGAATATTTCTAGATGCGCCTCAGATTCGAAGATGTCCTCTATCGATTAATGGCTACATGTTTTCTACTTTTATGTGTCTTATTCTTGTCTTGTCTCCTTTACTTGGTTGTCCGTTACTCATGTGCTCTGCTCACGCTGGTAGGACAGCGTGTATGGTACTCGCTCGGAAAGGACTCGAACTCGTAGTAGCGAGACGAACGGATCTGACGTCGAACGTGACAGGTTTTTTGGATCCTATCGATTACCGATTTTGATCGATTATCTGTCGCCAGCTCCTCTTCTATGCCTTCCCCCTTTTTCCTTGCTATTCTTTTCTACCTTTTTCTGTGGACTTGTGGCATACTATGGCATACAGGTGGCGCCACTATCATTTGAATATCTTACAAAAATTATAAATAAAATAAAACTGAAACTAAAATGATGGCAATACGTGTGTGGGACAGAGAGGCATAGTAATGTCAACATCAGAGGAGGAGGCGAAGCTGATTACAGAGAAGAGAATAAATATAATACTCGTAATATGTGTGTAAATAGGTCCCAGGGACAGGCACGCGGCAGATGTTCCGATCATTAGAATGCGCCACAGTTAATTATGTTTCTGTTTTCCGTCTGGGCAAATATATACACAATATATACATGTCTATATATATATATATATATACATATATATAGCGTCTATGCAGTGCCGTCCCGTCCCCACCCACAGACATTGGTGGCTCTTCGATATCTGCGTCTAGAACCTATCGAAATGTGATCGTAAAGAGAAACGATAAATTATCACATATCGGAAAACTTCGGTGATACCCTAGGAAGATGTCAATCGATCCTATGGCACACAGATAGACTTCGCGTAGCGATGGATTTTTCACTGATCGATGCCTTTTTGTCTGAGATCTGAAATACCTCTTGCCAGGGTATAGAAAAACCCCAAATCACATTTTAAATGCGTGCTCACGACCATACCAATATTTTTTATGGCCGTTTATTATTTTTTTTTTCAATTGCTTATTGGAGAAGACGTCACGTCAGACGATTTCCTTAACAGGAGAGAGGGTGCCCAATGCAGGCGGGAGAGAGAGGGAGTTTAAGGTAAGGTATACCCAGAGATGGCTCTCATGATAGTAGCATATTTTGCATTAGTTTGCGATGAAGAGGGATACCAAAGGCTTATTCCCTGGAAAGTGTGCATATGCAACTGGAAGAGGGGGAATGCCCTATGTCGTGGGCGAGCAGAGTGTGTGTGTGTATGTGTGTGTGGGAGGTGGTGAAACGCTGCAAGCTGCAAAATTAGGGCATCATCAAAGGCCACCTGACCAATCGAAGGGTACACACACACACACACCAACGAACACACGCGCGCGCACGCATATGTTTACATATATGTATATCTACGCATTCGGCTCATTTCTGTGTGTGTGCCAGCACTTGACCTTTAAATGTAATTTATTGCCTGGCAGTGTATGTAAATATGCAGTTTACTTTTATTTCAATCGACAAACATTTGGCAAAAATATTGATGTTTTACTCTCCCTGTCTCTCGCTCTCTCTTTCTCTCTCTGTGCTGCTGCTGTTTTTTTTTTTTGTCAACTCAAGCAATTTACGCGCATTGGGACAGACACACACACACTCTGGAACACACACACGAATAGCCAATCGCACACAATTTGTTGTTTTTATCGAATTTACACACAGAAAATATTCTCTATCTCATCATTTGCATTTGATTTAATTGACCACCAAGTGTGGCAAAATATACATTCATATAGTATACTGTACATATATAACCAATAAAACAGCATTAATATTTCATTGGCACTGGTACATATGTGCCTGTGTGTGCATCAGGCATGTACATATATGTAAATAACAAACATTAAGGGGGGACGGGACATGCTCATGTGGCGACCAAGGGGTTCGGTGTCTCGGGCATTCATTCCAATTGGAAATTGCAAATATGTCAAACGCGTTAGGGGCAAAAATGGGCGAGTGTTCAATTGTATGCCTGTGTGTGTGTGCATGAAATTGTTGTACAATGGAAAGATGATGCGTGATAAATAGAACGGTTACTGGTGAGAGGGGGGACACTTGGACTATTCTCTCTTACTGTAAATGGTATGCCTTCCACGGAGCCAATGGCGAAGCACCGGTCACCTGCATTGCAGGCACCGCTCAATATCTGATGACAATTCATAATTCTTTACAATTGATTATCACATCACAGCGCACGAATTGTAGTGTTGTTGGTTCTTTGGTTTTTTGGTTTCTAGCCCGATTTTTTTTCTTGCTTGTAACAAACGACAACAAAGTGACATTACATAAAAATAAGTAGGGTTGTCAAAAATATATCAAAATATCAATATATCGATATATTTTTCAAAATCAAATATATTTATATCGTGATATTTTTGGCAAAAACATCAATATATTGAGTGGCATTCCCAAACAAAATCGAAGACGAATAAGAAGTAACATAATTTATTTTCCAAATGGAAAGTATTAAGGTTATCTCAAAGATTCAATTTTGGAAATTAAATTCATATTGTTCAAATATCAAATATATCGAAAGTAGCGACGTCGATGAAACATCGATGTTTTTCAAATTTTCCATACTTTTATTTTATAATATGTAAAAAGAAAATAAATCCTCCAAGCAAATACTTTTAGCTATTTTTATCATTAGATCAAACATATTATTATTGTAAATATCCTATTTATAGTGTAAATCTGAAAATATCGATGTTTGAGAAAAAACATCGATGACATCCATGTTAACATCGATGTTTGTCCAGCTTTAGCTTGCATCCCTAGCTTGAAATTTTGCCAAATAAAAAAATCTGCATTTAAATAGTGTGTTTATTAAGTAAAATTGTACTAAAATGGCAGCAGGTCCCATTGCGGAACGTAATCAAGGTGCGTAGATAATTTCGGCTTAGCGGGACTGTTTCTCACAAAGATTTTCACTCATACCCGCAGATGCCACAATTTACGCCGGTGGTCTGGACGACAAGGTGTCCGAGTCCCTGCTGTGGGAGCTGTTTGTCCAGGCCGGACCCGTAGGTAAGCATTGAGCAGCAATGTGATTAAATCGGTCATTCTGCAGCTCCAATCGACACTCATTTCAGTAAACGTACACATGCCAAAAGATCGTGTCACACAAATGCATCAGGGCTATGGATTCGTGGAGTTCCTCAGCGAAGAAGATGCCGACTATGCAATAAAGATCATGAACATGATTAAGCTTTATGGCAAGCCCATTAGAGTGAACAAGGCGTCGGCGCATCAGAAGAACCTGGATGTCGGCGCCAACATCTTCATTGGCAATCTCGATGTGGAAGTGGACGAAAAGCTGCTCTACGACACATTCTCAGCCTTTGGCGTGATCCTGCAGACTCCCAAGATAATGCGTGACCCGGAGACGGGGAAGTCCAAGAGTTTCGCCTTCATCAACTTTGCCAGCTTCGAGGCCAGTGACGCCGCCATGGACGCCATGAACGGACAGTATCTCTGCAATCGCCCCATTTCCGTCTCTTATGCATTCAAGAAGGACCACAAGGGCGAACGCCACGGCTCTGCGGCCGAGCGTCTGCTTGCCGCCCAGAATCCCTCTGCCCATGCCGATCGTCCGCATCAGCTGTTCGCCGATGCGCCCGTGCAGAACATGATGACCGGCCAGATGATGCCGGGCCAAATGATGCCGCCACCGATGATGGCGCCCCCACCGCCCGTGGTCCCCGTCTCGCAGAACAATATGGGCATGATAGCACCGCCGCCGCCGGTGCCGCAGCCCACACCGTTCCCAGCCACAATACCGCCACCACCACTGCCACCGATGGCGGGCGGACAACCACCACTACCTCCGGCAATGGGCATTCCGCCGCCGCCGCGCATGATGCAGCCAAACTCGTGGGCCCCGCCGGGCATGCCAGCGCCGCCACCGCGACCTCCGCCAACGAATTGGCGCCCACCACCCGGTGCCTTTGCTCCAGGCCCCTTCGCCCGGCCCTACCAACCCGATGGCTATCAGTACTAGTCCACCAATCCCTGTGTAGCCTTTAGCCCCTGTAGTTATAAAATATTTGATGAACCAGACGAAATACATTTTCTAGGCTTTTACACACACGCGGAACCCAACGTGGACCCGACCCATACGACCATTGACTAGAATTTGAAAATGAAAAACAAAGCTTGGTATTTATTGGGAATGGGGGGATGTTTCTAAGCTACAGCCATGAAAAGATCTTGGCTTCATTTGATTCTCACGATTTTTTTTCCTGAGGTCAGGGATCCATTCTAGAACTTACAATGGGATCATCGGTGTGTGTTGATGCCTTTTCATTGATTTGATCAAATTAAAAGACAATATTTCGTCATGAGATCAGGGATCACCTGATTTCACCTTTAACCATTGAAGGCACATTTACATATATGAAGCTGGTCCAGGCCCTGCGATAGTTCTCAATAAGAATTAAAATTTTGTAAACCATTTTCGAGGATTTGCATTGCTTTCGATGAACGCCACGATTTCTTAGAACCTTTTATGGGATAACATGGTTTTACAGAATGATATCAGGTCTCCATTGACCATTTCCAAGGCATGGCATGCAAAAACGAGTGCAGAAAGCACATCATGAGGCAGATACTCCGATGAGGCTATTCAAATCCATGAATCAGAACGAGATGGCATCAGTTTGCCCCCTCCTGCAGAAGTACCTTTGCACGCAGGCATTTTCGCGTTAAGCATTACGTTACGTTACGTTGCAGGAGTTAGAGTGAAATGGCACACCCCGCCCCCTGCGCAGCATCACCGTTACTCTCACTCAGTCGAAATCGAAACTGTTTACTGTTGTGCGTATGTGTGCGTACATATATGCATCTCTTTCGTTTGTTGTGAAAAGCACGTGTCGCATGGAGGCATTCTTGTAATTAATTTTTGCATAAGTTGTATTTAATATATTGGAAACGTACAAGTACGGTATTTACAATAGTTTTTTTTTTTGTATTTGTTCTGCTTTCACCAAACGAATTTTGGTGTAATCCCTCGATTGTGTGTGTGTGAGTGTAAGTGTGTGGGTTGTTGGTGCTACCTATTCTCCATATTCTCACTTTCTTTCAGTTTATTTACTTTGTTTTATTTTAAAAATAATCCTAACTTCGATTTAATTTAATTTTACATATTATGTTCATGTTTTTCTATTTTTAAGTTATTCTCTTTTTTTGGTTAAGCAAAAAAAAGAAGACAAACATTGCGTAGGAAATTTGAATAATAATAATAGTGGTCGGTCCCGGTCCAAAAAGATTTTCTGATTTGATTTTTTCTTGTCGAAAATTGATTTCCAAGAACTGCATAAAAGTGTTCAGAAGTATGGAATGAAAAACTGTCATATATGCTAATTTCCTATAAATTACTGGATTGGATTGTATTGTTTCTTAGTGCACAGAAAAGTCTTGTTTGAAATTACAGAAAACGGAAGACCATTTGAAAATAGGAACAGGAACGTGAATCTTTCATGGAATCTCTTCCAACACTGGTTTCTCTCAGTTCAAACTTAGTTATTTGTAAAGTGGTTTTCGTGGGCATCAATTTTCGTTACAAAATCAAATCTCTGGGATCCCATCCATCATCATCATTATCATCATCATTGTTTATGATAATTTAGTGTTTTTTTTTCGCATTTATTTTGAAATTTGTTTTGGTTTTCCATGTTTTGTATTTTTTGTATCTTAAAAAAAATGTTTGTTATATATAAAAATAATAATTAACATAACGTTCTGAACTGGTTTGGTTTTGTTTTTTTGTATGCGTTGTGTGTATGTGTTGTTGTTGTTGTTGTTGTGGTGTTTTTGTTTTATTTTATTTTTTTCTGGTTTATTTGTTGCTGCTGCTTCGTCCTTCGTCCTTCCTCACTGGGGGTGCCTTGGGGTTTCGGGATCTCTCGCGTCTCACGTTATTTACTTAGTCGTTTTCTCTTCCGTGTCCGCCGTGTGATTGCTGGCATTATGGGACTTTCGCTGGCTGACTCCACCAGCGATCGCTGATGACTTGTTCTTGGAACGAGACGACGACGACCCCCCATTGGCCATGCGCACATTCTCGGAACTATCTGTGAGATCCTCACTATCACTGGAACGTATATCACCGGACATCTGTGAAACAATTAGAGCAACAAGATTATAACTATCTTTGCCGTGGTCTTCGTTTCGTTGCCAACTTACCAAACCCTTCTGCAGAGAGTCGACAACAATCTTGAGAATCATGTATGTCCAGATGACGTGCAGGACCAGCAGCATCAATAGCAGTGTATTGAAGATATAGTAGGCTGGGAACATGGGCAGGATTTGTGGTGCCTCCACAGAAGAGCTGCCCAAAAAGAGAAGAAAACAGAGGATTAAGACGTCGATCCATACAGGGGGGATCTTCTCTCAGTGTTTACCTGTAGATAAGACGCGGAAAAAAGCCCAAGCGCGTCACAATCCATACCACTGTAAAAATGGCAAAGATCGCATCGCAAAGCTTTTGATAATTGGCATATTTTGTTAGTTTTGCCGCCTCCAGAAAGATGTCGGCACAATCGTGCACGACCAGCACCAGAGAACCGACGCGATGCAGATTGCACACCCACGAGAGGGACATCAGCAGCAGCGTGACCATATGATGGATGAACATCTGCCAAAAGTCCTTGCGCTTCACATCAAAGAACTGTGTGCCAGTGAGCGACCAATAGAAGGACATCGATATCATATAGTACCACCAGATGTCATTGCTAATCGACTGGAAAGAACAGGAGGAGCGGAGGATTAACAATACATTCATAGGGAGAAATTTGATCAAATGTTAGAGCCCACCTGATGGGGATAGCCGTACCAACAGCTCTTCACATCCCAGAACCAGGGCTTGTCCCACAGCACAATCACGCCAAAGATAAACGAATACAAATAGTAGATGCATCGCCAGGTGTTCTCACAGAACTTGACCAATGTCGACGGCTTGTCCTGGGCCCGCCGCAGGCGCCACCATCGCTCGATCTGTCGCTCGCTCATGTCCGTCTGCTTGGACAATGGACCCAGCTATATGGACAAGAAAAGGAGTTCAATTTTAGTTTGTATTATATTTACGTGGGTTTCCCATATGATATCTTACCCATTTGTTGTCCAGTCGTGTGGACTTCGCATAGGCATTCTCCAGTATAGGAACATTTGCTGCTTTCTTAGGTCTAGAACTACGTATGCCCAGGGATTTGCCAACCGGGGATATCCAAAAGCTGAAATACAAATAGTTATTGTGAGTAATACTATATAGGTTTATATATATATATAGGTATATGGATATCGCTCCAGAAAAGAGCTTGAGAAATATTTGTATATTCTGCGTGGACCTCCTCCTCCTTACCTCCAAAAAGATCTATCAAGGCTGGGACTGCTGCAGAGGCAGTTCTAGAAGTTGTCCCTAATATATTTGAAGAGGACTTTGATCTGTATAAAGCTGGGATATATTTTTAAGGGGCTTTAAGTCCCACAATAATAACCACAAGATTCATTTAATGGTATTCCTCGGGCAGTCCTTTCTGCGTCTCGAGTCGAGTGTGGGATCAATGGAAGGAATAGATTTAGTGGGAATCAAGGAAGTGCCCGTGCAAATTCGTTATCTTCTTGTGATTTCTTCGATTCGAAGCATCCAATCTATAGAATTTCCAAAACCTAAGTGAAATATTGCCTTTGAGAGCTCCATGAATAAAAAAAAAAAAACAACAAAATTTCCGAAACACCAAATATAGATTTTTGTCCCGCCGGTTTTTTTTTTTAAACTTATTTAAATCGTTTAAGCGTTTTTTAGATATCTATTCTGTGGCAGGTCTTTGAGCCATCAATCAATCAACTCGTTTGAGATATTTAATCGAAAATGTTTTTGTCTTGGGAATCGTTGAATCCCTGAGCGAAGGATTTTATTGAACTTCCGGAAGATCTTTTGTTTCTGGGAGTTTTGAGAGTAGGGTGCCTCCTGGCAATGCGGAAATATTTGTGTTATTTTTGTTGTTGTTGTTTTACGATTCATTGGAATTCTGGAAAGAATCAAGAAATAAGTATGGCCGGTCCGTCGTCTCCCACCTGTCGTCTGGCACGTGGAAGGCATTGAGAAAAAGGCGCAACAGCGGGCAGGGTGGCTGTACGACATGCATAAATAATTAGACGACAGTGCGCCCCCAGGGGCACCCTTCCATCTCCATCTCCATCTCCATCACCAGTAGTAGAAATAATTATCTCGGTTTTGGTTTTTCGGAAGTTAATTTGCTAATGAAAACGAAACGTCCCGGCTCCGGCTCCGGCTCCGAGTCTCCGACTCGTTTGGCACATCTCCAGTTCTGGTGATGGCGTTTGCGATTGCGATTGGCATTTTAAACAGTAGTTTTCGATTCGATTTCGATTGGTATGCAAAGCACAAGCCATAGCCGAAAAGATCAGAAGGAGCAGCAGTAGGGGGAAGGAAACCAAAGTTACGTTTTACGTTTTCGCAATTGATATTCTCATTCCTTCAGTCTTTCCTTTCCTCTGTCTGTTGTTCGTTGTCTTTGTCCAGACAATCACTAGGGCCAGAGCCATATAAATTATAACAATTCATTTATGCGAATTTATGCGTTGTTGAAACGCACACGAGAGGCCGTCCACACGGCCGAATGCTCTCCGACTTCTGCGACAGAACACAGAAGAAATGTGCTTAAAAAGTGAATGATATTCCATCTCCATTCCATCCGAGTCCAAAACGAATGTGTATCCGTTCGTTTATGGGAAATCTGTAGTGGAACACTAGCATTCCTTTCGTTCATGTAGCGGAATGATTGGAATTATTGCGAAACATTGGAGACACTGATGTTCATTTGATGTAAAAATATCCCATAGGCGAACGGATACATTCGGATTCGTTTCGGATTGGACCACAGGCGCCAGGCAGACGCACAGAAGGCAAAAACGGGACATTCTCGAGCGCTTTCGAGTCCGAGAATCCAATAACAAGACACCGAAATGCAGGAATCAGTCGCAACCAATGCCATCCTGAAAATACTTGTAATTTAAGAGAACAAGTCTGGAAAAGGACCTGCAAAAAAGCACAACAAAATGGCATTCCCTTTGGAATATTTTTTTTTGGAACAAATCAACTCTAGATGTTATTCTGGTACTCTGATTAATAAATAAAATGTGTGTCGCGCAGGAAGACCTTTAAATAAGTGACCTCTGTTATGGCTGCGAGGAGCCCAGAGGGGGCTGTGGGAATCCCGCATATGGCGTCACTCAAGATATTGATTCCATTCTCTTCCATTGTGAAGCGCCTCCCTAATTCGGTGACGAGCCATGAATTGTTAATGTGTGCCCCCCCCTACCCTAGTTATGGGAAATTACTTTGTAATTGGTTAGATTCTGGGGGTACGTATTGCGTACTACGTACTATGCCTGCATGTCTGCCCCCTCGGGGGGCGGGGGAGTTACTCAATGGAAAATCAATTGAACTATTAAAGTTTAAGCACTGGACACAGTACACACTCCCAATCGGATGTGTGTCAAATGTCACATGCGGTCTGCTGCGTGCCACATGCCACATGCCACACAGTCGAAATCAAAATTCAACTCAAAATTCAAGTAAAAATTGTATAAATAGAAAATGTCCGTTTCGTGTGGAATTTATCATGAGCGCCAGAGCCGGCAATTGTGCGCCTTGCACGCCCTGAACAATCTGTTTCAGGGCAGAGATCCCTACACCAAGTCGGAGCTGGACGAATACTGTTACATTCTGACGCCCCGCTCGTGGCTGAACCCGCATCGATCGTGGTTCGGTTGGGGCAACTACGATGTGAACGTCCTCATGTACGCCCTGCAGCAGCACCACTGCGAGACGGTGTGGTTCGACCGGCGGCGCGATCCCACGTGCCTCGATCTCGGCCAGATTCTGGGTTTCATTATGAACGTGCCGCTGCGCCTGCCGCTGACCCAGCTCCTGCCGCCGGCTCTGAGAATGCGCCACTGGCTGGCCCTGCGCTGCATCAATGGCAGCTACTACAACCTCGACTCGAAACTGCGCCAGCCCATGTGCCTCGGCACTGAGGCAGAGTTTGTCGATTATCTGCGCGAACAGCTGCGGCCGCACACCGATCAAGAGCTCTTCATTGTCATGACCAACGATCGGGCGACGAGCGCTGAAGGCGACGATGCCGCCACCAGCGAAGATTCCGACCAGACGGGGGCCAACCAGCGCTGGCTAAAGCCGCAATTTCGAAATGCCAAGTGAAATAAAATTAACAAGTTAATGTGTACTTTTTGCGATTGATTTGTTCCTGGGGCAGGATATGGAAGGACCAAGGAATGGGGGAGAAACGAAAGCCTGGCACTAGCAGCCATCTTTCCACAAACACAGCCACAGCCACAGAGACCCCCTGCAGCTGATTCAGTACACCCTACACACCTACAAAGCTTATTGCATACAGACACAGCTTATTTCGTGCAGCCACAGCTTATTTCGTACACCCGACACAGCTTATTGAATGCACTAAAATATATTCCGGCTTACCTGAAGCGGATATTGAGAGTCCTGAACAGTATAGAAACTTATATGGAGACATCCCCCCACACACAGATCCATAAATCGTGTCCTCAAGAAAACCTTTCCTTTCCATGCAAAAACTTCTATCGGAAATATCCCGTCCGTATCCCTCATAGATCTTCAATTTGAATAAATCTCTATCTATAAAGTGGTTATAAATGAAGCAAATCGGTTAACATAACTATTAAAGTCCGAATAGAACAATCTTATGGCACAAGTATCTCTGGACAAAGTTTATTTCGTACGGCAAATGCAGTACACCCTACAAAGCTTATTTCGTGCAGCCACAGCTCGTTTCGTACACCCGACACAGGTTATTGCATACACCAATTTATATACGGACTGATCTGAAGCGGGTACTGAGAGTCCCGAACAGTATAGAAACTTATATAGAGACATCCAAAGTACCCCTTATCCCTCATAGATCCCTGTCTATAAAGTAGAATCAAATCGGTTAACATAACTATTAAAGGCACATCAGAGGCATCTCTGGCGTGCGGTTAATGATTGTGTTTTCGATTTTTGTGTGCAGTGAAATAATGATCGGTGGTTCAGTCGTTCGATTGGTGGCAATTTGACAATTTTCGATTGCAATTTCTCCCTCTCTCTCTCTCTCTCTCTCTCGCAAGTCCAAAGTGGCAGCGGGAGGAAAGTGCATTGACAATGGAAAAAATGGCAAGTGCGATTGCCGGACAGTTATATTTATATATATTTGTTATCAGTGAAGCAACAACTAAATTTATATGTATATACTTACTCGTCTTTTATATTTATAATGAATAATGGTCTGTGGAATTACAGACTCGTGTGTGTCGTATGTTGTGTTTTTGTTTTTTTTTTGAATTATTTACTCGCTTGTCAACCGATAATACTACCAGCACGCAATCCCCGATTAGTGGGGTTCCACATACATATACATACATACATATATAAATGTATATATGTAGATATCTTGGAAGATTGGCAAATCGGTAGACCAGGGAATGGAATGAGTCACATATCATATACGGAATACGGCTGGGCAGGAATTTAGCATAAGTCGTCGTGAGTGCAATTTTCGACTAACTTTAATCTTTATTAGTCATTCTATGGCTTTTCATTTAAGAATACTCGCTGTCAGAGCGGATTAATGGCAATCGGCACAAGCGTTGCAGACGGAATTGTTTTCAATCGAGTAACCACCTGCAAAGTTATCATCACGATGGCCAGAACTTGAGGTATTTGCTTTGGGCCCTCCACTTCTTTTGGAGGGCCTTCTATCGTTCTATTGGCTTGTTGCCTTTCCCTCTTTCCCATCAGGAATACCCCGGAATACATATTTTATTCTGATGCTCGCTTATGCTTCTGCTTTCTTCGGTTTTGGAGCAGTGGAAACGCTTTGTTTTCGTTTCATCGTTATCGATTCTGGGTGCTTCTGCGCTTTCGATAAACTCGCACCGACTCGACAGCAACAACAGCAACAACAGAGGTGATAATTGGGGGTCTTTAACAAATTGCACTTGGAATGGGGGCGCCTCCCCCTCCCCTCTCTACAAGCCTTTTTCTGTTTTTCTCTCTCTCTCTCTCTCTCTCTCTCTCTGCCCGACAGCCGCCAGTTTTGAGGTCTTTTTGTGCGTAAAGCACGTGCTTTTCCTTCTTTCGTTTTAGCCCCTTCACGTTTTCTTTTGAGTTTCAGTTTGCACTCGCATACGACGAGTATTCCGTTGGGCAATCAGCGATAAGCCATCAAAAACTGACCGACTTTTGTGTGACCGTCCGTGTGCCTTTTGAAGAGGGTAGGGTTAGGGGTAGGGGTAGGGGTAGGCGGTAGGCGGTAGGGAAAAACCGCATGGAAACGGGTTATGGGCTAAGGGGATTGTAAGATTTGCCTGCTTAACACCTGGTCTTAATTCTTTTTCTTTTTCGTCTTTATTTGGAAAGCCATAATCTAGAGTTTCCAAAATGATAAAGAGAAATCATTATTCCAGCAGAAGAATCAGAAAAAAAAAGAACCTGCCACACACAAACACACACACATTTACATTATGCTTTGGTACTATTTCTCACATTTTGCCAGAGATTAGTGTGCCAGAGGGGGGAGAGGAGGGGAGAGGAGGGGATCGGGGGTCTGACGTGTGCGATTGTGCGATTCGTTGTGTGTGCATGTGAGCCATTAAAATAATTAACCTGAAATTTTATCGCACTATAAGAGCACATAGCACATAGCCCCAAGGGTCGACTCTCGAGTGATTACGTATCAAAAAAAAAAAAAAAAAAAAAAAAACAGGGAAAAAAGCTTAAACATGACTACACACACACACACACACACACACACACACATACCACCCTTCCAGTCTCTAAAAACGGGTGAAAACAGGGGCTAAGTATTTCACTTTTTCCCATGTTCCACTCTGTAGCAATTTTCCCATAGGCGAACCGATTCCACGTACTCTGTTCCTCTGTTCCTCCATTGATTCGCTGTTGAAATTTCCCATAAGCGAACGACCACTGACATTGATTGATTCGATCTATAAATTCTATACTGTTCCCATAAGCATACGTCTAAAAAATGTCTCTAATGCTTAGATTTTAAATGGAATATTAGTAGAGAGGAAATCGGTATTGCGGATTACAGTGGATCATCCGCTATCGTCCATGAATGAGAATGTTACCCGTTGTATGCAAGAACTGTCTCATTTCTAGACACTAAATAGACATAAAATCACTATTTTATTGTTCGATAAATCGTTTTTTATACCCTCGTAATTTGAAATCAAGAAAATCGATCCATGGGGCATTGCCCCGTGACTAAAGCGACTGAAACAATTGGAACAATGGTAAATAAATACAAATGCCAGTTTATCATATTTCTAAACAATTGAAAGGCTATTGATTTTTTGGAGGCACAGCTGTTGAGATTTTTCAGATAGAAATACATACAACAGGCCAGCAATCGATTGAATATCCATCAGAAAATTACAAGTATTTCTTGAAGAAGAGTACATTTTCTCATCTTGAATCGTGTGAATGAAAATGGAAGTGGAATACTGCACACTGTACTGTACGGAGAATCGGGGAGTGGATTCAAGGGAGAGGCTTTCACCCTAAAAGTATTAGTACTTTTCTCATGACTGGCTTTTCTCTGGGTTCCTCTCCTTCTACAGTATTTCCAGCATAAAAAAATGTTTGAACACACATTCCACAGCGTGCACTCCATTAAGGGAGACTCCACCAAAACATTACATATTTGGGGAAAAACTTCTGAGCGACTTGCACATGAGTCACTCTTTCAAGTGATTTGATAAATAAATAAATAATGAAACGATGATGAAACACCACACACACACGCACAAACAGAAACACCCACATCCACGGGGGAGGCGGGCCCGTGCATAGTCATTCGCTAGTTCGTCGTAAAGCAATCGAGGAACCAGGGCACTATCAACCCATTTTTGTTTTTTTGTTTTTGTTATACGTAAATCTTTGTCCGCAAATCTTATCAGGTGGCAAATGCGCGAGTGCTGCGATGGTGTGGTGCCGGTGCCAGTGCGCCCTATGCCTCAAGGTGGTTGTCCGTCTCGTTCCGTTCCGTTTCGTTGATTAGAAGGCCGGACCGACTGCAGCCGTATCGAATCCCCCGTACCGTCGCTCGACATTTGCCATTCAATAACAAAAACGACAAAATAAAATGAACTACAAAAACAAAAACAAAACCACTAAAATAAAATACCAAATCCGATAAGACCTTGAAGGCCAATATTCTCCAATTCTAGTTTTTGAGAAGAGATCTCGAAAGAGAGACGAAAAAGCAATCGACAAGAAGTGGTCTGCCATGAAACAGATTTTGTGTGTCGTTTCGTTGCATTTATGTTTCGGCAAACACTTGCCAAAAGGCCAGGGGGCATGTGGGGAATAAATGGCATGATGGTAAGGAAAACTGTTGTCCACTTGGTAGCACTGCACTTTCTTAGTGCCACTTGGCAGCACTAATTTGGCAGAAGGGCGCGCGTGCTGGTTCAGAGCAAAACAATATTAATGAATATTTACAACTATTTTACATGAAAATGCACGCAACACACACACACACACACACACACACACACACACACACACATACACCCGTGTACACGTACACTCGAACACTAATTGTTGGCGCGTTTAACCGTCGTACCAAAGAGCCAGGCCCACGGGTTAATTTGCCGGAAAAGTGGTCTTTTGGCCCCCGAGCCGTGGGACCAATTCAGAATGTACAGCGTCAAAATTTATATTTGTAGAATTTATTTCATCTTCATTTTTGGGAAGGGGTTTAAATACCCAGCCCTCCACACAATAGGCACGATTCTGGCCCCGATTTACATGGCTAATAAATCTAAAGGCCTCAAAGCTTATCGGCCTTAATCCGAGATGGCGAAACTAATAAAGAAACCGTGAGTCATGATATATTCCGATTGGATTCCGATTTCTTGGAACTATATTGAGATCGTGGAATCGAGAGCGGTTTTTGGGTGCACTCATCCCAGTGTGCACACACACACAGGTACACACCGGGTATATGTATGTGTGCTAGTGTCATTTTATAAACAAATACATTTTATTTTAGTTTTGCGTCCAACTAAAAAATCTGTGGGAATCGAAGAAGGGCGATGGCAGTGGGTGCAGCCCGCAATGTCGTGGGAAATTCAATATTTCCAACGGTGCTGCAAGCCAGCGGTGGCATTGCAATTGGAGCCGGCAGCTGCGTTTGTGTTTGCAAAGGGAAAACATAGGAGTTGCAGAGGTGGCAGCAACAATAACAGAAACAACAACAGCAATACGCGTGTGCGGCATGCCTTACTAACACATACATGGCATAAGAACGCATGCATACACATACATACAAATGTACATAAAATGTTGGGCGTTTCCACGTGAGGTTATGTTTGGCCCAAAAAGCGGGAGAGAGGACACAAAATGCGAGCCAACGAGGGACAGGGAGAGAGAGAGCGCAAGAGAGGGGCGAGAGAATATGAATAAAAATGACATTTGCTTACTGTACATTGTGCAGCAGCAGCGGCAGCGGCAGCAGGAAACAAACACTAGAGCATACATATGTGGGTGTGTCTCGCAGTGACCACAAAGTGGCCCTCAATGGGAATTTACAGTAATCTGGAACGCACCGGGCACAGAACAGTGGGCAAAAAGTGGCAAATGAATGGGAATGGGGTATATTTTCGTACACTTACCGTTCCAGTGTATAGCGCACCAGCATGACAACAGCCGCCAATGGAATGGGCCAGATAAGATCCTTGTAATTGGCATGCACCACATCGGGCCGCGAACCGGGCGCTATATCGGCCCATGTCGTATTTGGCGGCAACCAAATGTCCGTACTCCAGAATGCACTGCTAATCTTATTGATTATATCCATGCTCCCGGTCGCTTCTCACTTCTTTTCTTTTTTTCCGGCTTCAATGAGAAATTCTTTTCTCCGTTTTCACTCGACTGCTGCTTCTGTTGTTGTTCGCTCGGCGTTTGATGAATTTGTTGTTTGTCGTCATGAAAGTTGTCATATACATATATATATATATATATACGCTATTCTCTGGATTGGATGGGAATTTGGAGCAGAGCAGCAGGGAATTATGTGCAACAACAAACAGCACGCCGCGGAAACGAACCCGAGAGCGAGACACACACACACATTCACTCTCCCTCAATCACTTTGGCCAAAAAAACCAACGGCCGGAATAGTTAGTTATTTTCTTTTTTTTTTTTCTATCGACGTGCCGCTTAACACAGAAAAAAAACAAGAAAATTCTAAAAATTTGACATTTGTGCAGTGGACTTATCGATAAGAGTACGGTCTGACTCTCAGAAATATACCAAAATATATTTTTAAAAATACCGTAAATATACTGACGAACTCCAGGTCTATTTTACATATTCCTCGTTTTTGATATTCCGTCGAATATTACTAGCTATATAGAACATTAAGCCATGCCCACATAATTTTATCCGATTAATCAATCAATTTTCGACTTGACTGGCACATTTAATACTTGGCTTTGCTTGTTTTTGCCTCAATTTTCGTTTCTCAACAACAATATAGCGACTCGTATGATGGAAAACCGAGCTTAGCCCACTTAAGCCCCCTATATTTAAATAGTTCAACTAGTTAGTATAAACTACTTGAGGTAAGTGGCGGAAAATATTAACGACTGTAAATTCTTCTTGTAGATCCATGCCATCCTCTCAACTTAAAAAAACATCTCAATATCTTTCACCTGAACTGCGCTAAAATTAGTCAATTTTCATTATAGTCGGTGGAAAATTGAAATACGCCCTTGGCTTATAATAGGTTAAACGTTCTCCGTCAAGGATTGAAAACCATATTGCTTAATTTTGATGTTCCGTCAAATATAATAAGCTAGATAGAACATTTAGCCATGCCCACTCAATTTTATACGATTGATGAATCAATTCTATACATGATTGGTCTATTCGAAATACTTGCATTTATTGGATTTTTAGATAAAATTGAAAATTAAATTAATAGATGACAAAAATACCATTTAGCACTAAAAAACACCACATGGGAGCGCGGCGAAAACCAGTTTCTACAGTATATACGGTCTCACTTGAAAAATATACCGAGTGGTGCGCGCCAAATCGAACTTTTTTGAATGTGAGCGACAAGGATTTAAATGTTGTCAACCGGGCCTTTATCTATGCCCACATAATTTTATACGATTAATGAAGCAATTTTCTACACAATTGGTTAGTTTGTAGTCCTTGCTTTTATTGTATTTTGACTAAAACACGGTTTTCAAGTAAATGTTGCCGCAACATTGTGTATGAAATTAGTCTCATTGTTGTCAACCGGGTAAAAGAGGTCCTTACCCGATTCAAGTTCTGTAATCGATACTATCGACAGGATACGAGTGGTGCGCGCCAGATATAAATTTTTTGAATGCGAACGACAAGGATTTAAATGTTGTCAACCGGGCCATTACCGATTTAAAAAATACGATGATTTCATCAATTTTGATCTTCCGTCGAATATTTCCAGTTAGATAAAACAATTTGCCATGCCCACATAATTTTATCCGATTAATGAATCAATTTTCTACTTGATTGGTTAGTTTTTAGTCCTTGCTTTTGTTGTATTTTGACTAAAACAAGGTTCAAACGAAAAAGTTCAACAAAAAAGAGTCGCTATATTGCGTGCAAGCCGTAGTATAGGTCTTTGTATACCCTATTTTGTTAATTGTATATGAAAGTATATATATTGATATGAAGATAAAACGTAACTAATAAAGACCTTTTCTCAAATTGACATTTTTTAGACATATTCATGTATATGATGAGTGTTTTGTATATATATCTCGATCCTGATACCTATTCTTGGTCCCGACAAGAAGACAATAAGCTTCAAAATATCGTTGAAATATTAAAAATAATATAATAAATAATATTGAATAATATTAAAATATTTTAGAAATAAATTGTTTTTGCGATGACAAACATATTCACAATTCTATACTATCCTTTCCTAGGGTATGCAAGGGTTGGCGAAATTGGTCAAAACAAAAAAACGAAAGAGGATAGTTGTTCATATTACTCAATTTAGAGATTCCGTTGAATAAAACCCTTAGTTTTGCCCACTTAATTTCATCCCTAAAGGAAAGGCTAATTTTAACGACCCCATTTTACTGGTTTGTTTATAAAATAAGGTTTAAACAAAATAGGTCAGCAAAAAAGTATTTTTTTACATGGTAACTACATGCTACCTATACATTTTTGAAAATATTTAGATTTTTATGGCAAACCATTTGGAATTCGATGCTGATGCTGATATTCGAAGCGACCTGGAACATGGCTCTAATGGCTCTAAATGGCAATTCCACACGATTTCCACGATTCTATGAAAATTATCAATATCTGCAAGGTGTGTGAGCTAGACCAAAAGATTTAGTTCACGGAATGTGTACTGTACTGGTTCCACTTACGCGCGAATTGCCCAACACTTGCACAATTTTGACACTTCTGCTTCTTTACCTTTGAGTTTTTTTTTTATTGTGACACTGAAATAATAGATTTGTGCATTATTTAGTCATATTCGTTTCTAAGCCACTATACAACTAGTTTAATTATTTAATTTAACGGAATGGCCGAATTTCTGGACTCTGAGGCCGAGGAATCGGAGGTAAGCACCGCTCTCCGGCTATTTCGGCACAATTTTTTTTTGCGTTTTGCACGCTTTGCGTTTTCTGTTGTAGCCGCCGCGCGTATATACATATGTATATCTATGTATATATGTAGGATTATTCAATTGCAATTAAACTATATAAAAGCATATATGAGAGTGTGTTAATATTAATGAATTGCATTTTCAATGATTTTTACAGGAGGAGGAGGAATTGGAACTAAACGAAAGGAAAAAGCTGAAGAAGCTGAAAGCCGTGGTATCTGACAGCAGTGAGGAGGAGGAAGGTGCGTCTCTCTATCCCTCTCTATCCCACTAGATCCCAAACGAACACGCACACTGCCGCAAACCACCCGCCATATCTATCGAGTGAGGCGGCGGCCCCGTGAAAACAAAAACAAATTGTGATGCATGTAATGCACCCGCCGCACCCCCTCCCCAACGGTTCATTATTGCATCTGCAGGAGGCGACATCTGCAGGCAGCGTCCCAATGGAAAATCCAATGGGATCATGTATACCTGGCTGGCGGGAGAGCCACTGGGCACTGGGTTTTCTGTTTTCGGTTTTCCTTTTCGTTTATTTGCATTTGTTTACAGCATTGAGGTTAGGTTAACCCGTACCCTTGAGTACCCTTTGCAGATAGGGTATGCACGATTGTAACTATAAGATGTAAACAATGCCCCAGATGCTCCGTATATATTTGTTGTAATCCCTAAGGGTTATTTTAGGCGCCCAAGCGAAAGGCAGCTCCAAAGCGGTAGGCATCGCATATTACCAGATTTAATAAATGATGAAAGATACCCCAAATCATTACATTTCACAAATGGCTCTTAATATTCTACAAAATCTTTCGAAGCTACCCCAATCCAGAAGGGAACCCCAAATTGTTACGAATAGCAGGCCTTACGCTCTATATCATGCACTTGACATATCCATATATTCGGAAAAGGTTCAAAGAAACACTGTCACTCGTGTCACACGCGTCACATTCCAGAATTAATTTCCAATATGGATTGTAATAAGTATTTTCTGCCGCTTTACAGATGTCATTATCGAATTGATATAAAATCGCATACAAATCGAAATTTAATCTGTTTTTTTTTTGTGTGTGCTCTTTTCGCTTTAGATGACGAAGAACGTTTACGTGAGGAGCTTAAAGATTTAATAGATGACAGACCCATTGAGGAGGAGGATGGCAGCGGCGATTCGGACACTGCCAGCGGCGGCGACGACGATGACGAAGGCGGCGGCAGTGGCAAGAAGCGAAAGAAACATCAGGATGATGATCTAGACGATCGACTCGAGGACGATGATTATGATCTGATCGAAGAGAATCTGGGGGTCAAGGTTGAGCGACGTGTAAGTGGCCATCTCATATATTTATAATACATTTTAATATGTATATATATTTGTGTATTCCATATATAGAAACGCTTCAAGCGTCTGAGACGCATTCACGACAATGAAAGCGATGGCGAGGAGCAGCATGTGGACGAGGGTTTGGCTCGCGAACAGATTGCCGAGCAGTTGTTCGATGAAAACGATGAGGTACGATTATCCACCAGCCCCTCCTCTCGTCTATCGAGATCTTCTAAGCAAATGTCTCTCCCCGTTTCTGTAGAGCATTGAGCATCGCAGCGAGCGCAGTCCTCGGCACGGCGAGGCGGATGCCTTTGACGAGGAGGATTCTGAGTCAGATGCCGATGATTTTATTGTGGACGACAATGGCCGTCCCATTGCCGACAAAAAGAAGAAACGGCGTCCCATATTCACAGATGCGTAAGTGGTGCACCGCCCAAGAGCCTAAGGGCTCCTCTCCCCAAAAAGATACCGATTGTAGTTCTGTACGTTTTTTCGTCCAACAACAGATCGCTGCAAGAGGGCCAGGATATATTTGGTGTGGACTTTGATTATGACGACTTCTCCAAATACGAGGAGGATGAGTACGAGGACGATACCGAGGGCGATGAGTACGACGAGGATATGGCCGGCGGCGATGATCATCGGGTGAAAAAGAAGAAGGCCCTCAAAAAGAAGGTTGCCAAGAAGACGATCTTCGACATTTACGAACCGAGCGAACTGAAGCGCGGCCACTTTACCGATCTGGACAATGAGATACGAAAAACAGACATACCCGAGCGCATGCAGCTGCGACAGGTGCCCGTAACGCCCGTGCCCGAGGGATCGCTGGAGCTGGACGACGAGGCCGATTGGATCTATCAGTATGCGTTCTGCAAGAACACAGTCTCCGAGCAGGAGAAGGCCGACAGTCGGGAGAAGATGCGCAAGCCACCCACGGCCGTGAAGAAGATCAAGCAAACGCTCGAGTTCATACGTAATCAGCAGCTGGAGGTGCCGTTCATTGCCTTCTATCGGAAGGAGTATGTCAAGCCCGAACTGAATATCGACGATCTGTGGAAGGTCTACTACTTTGATGAGCGCTGGTGTCAGCTGAACGAGCGCAAGCGGAAGCTGAAGGCGCTCTTTGAGAAGATGCGGCAGTTCCAGCTGGACACGCTCTGCGCGGATCCGGATAAGCCTATACCCGACGATGTGCGGCTCA